CTGCTAGTAAAGTGCTAGCAGCAATTCTTCTATTTCTCCTGTCAGCCAAGCTTTATTCAAGTTTGACCTTCTCTTTGTCAGACAAGCATCACTCATCTCTCGTGATGTGCTAGCATTAATATTGTCTTTCAAGCGTTATACAGTATCTTCCTAGAACAAACTCCAGCAATACAACATCCTCTAGGCTTGCACAGCATGATGTTCTGTTCTGCAGTGGCAATAATAGCTTGTGGGTACAGCATTTATTATTTTAGCATGGCTTAATTTGTGTCATTGTTTTGGGCAGACAATCTATTTCTTTAACGTGCTGTTTCTATTTGAACATGGTATTTCCTCCATTATTTCCCTTTCTTAGCAATACATGCTGATTAGAATTGCCCAGCTCAGCCTACAAACTACTTCTGAAGACAAGGACTTTACACATGCTATTTCCAGGGAACAGCTGTATTGTTACCTAATTCCAGCAAGTATTTTGTCTGAAGGGTTTGCTTCCAGGAATGATGTAATTATCAGTCAGTTTGACATTCTCGCAGCCACAGAACTAAAGATTGAAATGGTACTTGGAAAGAATTATGAACTTTAATTCTTTTTCCAATTTAGTGTTATGCAATTACACACACTTCCAGGAGTGGAAAATCAAGGGTTTGATTCATTTCCATCCTGGCCTTTCCTAACAGCTTAGATTTTTAGAACCTTATTACAGTTCTTGCGCTGTGGCGGGGGGTGATGGTGAACTCAATTTTTGCAGTCATTAAAGAAAGAGGAGTGTATTGGGACTATGGTCTGCTGCTCAGAAAAATGTAAAAGTGAAATAATGACACAAGCCTTGAAGGATCATTATGATGGGGAGGGAGGACAGAACCATTCAAACCTCTATCTCTGCTGATGGATAAGGCTTATTGTCCAGTTGTATTTCTGATGGTATCACAAGCTACAAAAGCAGAGGTCTCTAGGTTCACTTCTACATCTTCATTGCTAATATATATTTCATACTGGAAGAATCTACCTTTTCAACATCTTTCACAGATTTTTTTTCTCAGAAGTTTGGGTATAGGAATTTGTTATCTTGTATGATGAATTCCTGTGTTGTGTGGTGAATTACAGATGGCAACATTGCTACTAAAAATGAATAAATTAGACCATGATTTAATTTGCAAACAGTTGAGAACCGTCTAAAGTTAAACTTTTCTAAGATCTGTTAGTTTTCAGACTAAGTTCAAATAGTAATTATGCAGCATTAATAAGCACTTGTTGGAAATTTGACTTAGCCTTGGTTTAAACTGATACGGGGATAGAGAATAACCTGGGGGCTTATTTGAGGGTGCTGAAAGAATACCAAATAAGCCTCTCTCGCTCCACCTCCCCATCCTCACCATCTGGGGATGAACTTACCTCGGTGGATACTTGTGAACCATTTTCAACAGAAGTCAGGATTTAGTGGCTATGCTAAATATTATTCAGCTTTTTAATACCTGAAATTTATTAATGGAAATTTAAAGACTAATTTTAACTAATTTCATTACTAGTTACCTAATTAAATATAATTAACTGCCTTTAAAAAAAGGGATCAGGAAGCATTTTCCTTTTGCCTTCAATATTTAATATTTGTAAATATAATGTTCAGTAGTATGCAGTCAGATGACCACCCTGCGCTTTGTCATTCCACTACATGAGTGTGTATATGTGGAGTGCACAGAGATAAAATAGCAACAACTAAGGAGCACTATCACTCCTTGGAATTTTCCTATAATTCTAGTAAAACACTCTCTTGTTATCTAAAATGGCATATGGTATAGAGGCATAACATGAAGGCAGTTACTGGTATTTCATAACGTAGTGAATTTTCACTTAAAAATCTAAGGAGCAAACTAATTCAAATAAAATAAGTATCCTATAGGGTTAACTAAATCAACCACTGTTTACACTGCTCCTAGTACACTCATAACTTTTTTAGGTTAGTTTTTTGGATGTGTGTATGACAGAAATGAGTTATATGAAGATAAGCTCTTTTAAGTAAATCATTGTCATTCAGCAGTATAATCTGAGATGTCTGGCCTTGAATCTCTGATTTGAAAATACCTTCAGTGGTCTCTTACATAATCACAGTTCATTTCTTATCTACATCAAGGAATCTTCCTGTCTATTCTGGTAGCCTAACGACTACTAAAGTGAAGTGCTTGGTGACTCTGGACACTTCCTGACTTGGTGCTCTCATACAGGCAGAGAACACTTGCACAATTCAGATTATTTCACTCATGGTGAGTTCAGAAGAAGCAGTAAACAATGAAGAAGTTTTCAAACTAATTTAGTCTCTGAAGATGCAGTCATTTGTTACAAAATAGGAGATGCTCTCAAGATTTCTTTTTGGGACATTTGCGTCAGTTGTCTGCTTTATGCAATTTCTATTCAGAAAAGAGACCATTAGATAGGTGGGGGTTTTTTGTTTCTTCGTCTGTTTTTTTTTGTATGTAGCAACTGCAAAGAAGAGCAAGTTAAAAACCACATTTTCTCCCTAATTTTTGATTGTCACTCTCCTTCCTAAATTGAGGCACAACTAGGTTCCAGTAAAAGAAGCATAGTGAAATTTGATGAAGTTGGCTGAGACCCAAGAGAAGTAAGGAAAATTTCATATGTCCATCTCTCATGCTCTGAAATACAAGATTCTATTTAGTGTGGAAGACAATGCTCTGAAATACAAGATTCTATTTAGTGTGGAAGACAAATCTCAACAATTTTTAAAATAACTTTCTAAACAAGTGAATTAAACATAGAATTCATGTGATTCTTTAGACATCTTGTAGCAAAGTACCTTCACATTATTTAAAAATTGCATTCCACATAATGTGAGATTTATTATGTATCTTTACGTGGCAGTATTACCAGTGTTTTGATTAGACCTTCTAGAAAGAAGGTGTAGGTTGCATGAACAGATAATGATGAGGCTTCTTAACTTACTTAAAACTTCTTGCTTAAAACTCCCCTCAGCCCCCCCATTTCTCTTCACCTTTTGGACCTTTCCTTTTTCACAAGTGTGAGAATTCATGCAGTGTCAGTCTCTCCTACTTAGAGTCCTGTTGGTATTTGCTCTCTTGCCTTTTCTCACTCATTTGAGCAGATGCTGTTCCAACACTCTGGTTTTAACTATTCCTCATATTTTCTTTAGCCCTCATAAAAGTATATTTCTATTTCCAGCCAGCCCAGTTCCAGTCATCACATTACTCCTGGCTCTGCTCCCATCCTGCTTATGAAATACTGTAGTAATTTTGTAGTGGGACAGTTGGATCATATGGTTGTCCAAATCTTCTTTATGTGCTCGTGGAGAAAGAGTAGCCAGTCATATCTGATGTTGTCAGACAAATACATTTCACAAATAAATAAATTTAAAAGATACTTTAAGAGTAAGCTCATTTTTGTAAATCTGCTCAGTCAAATGAGGATAATTTGACAACTGAAACACTATAGTTTCATTTAGCCAAGAATTAATTTCTGAGGCTAAATGAAAGTTCTGCCATTTCAGAAGAGAGGGTAGGGAAGTTTTGAAGTGAAAACATCAGAATAGTTCACATCCCAGCAGCAAAATACCTTAATGAATTTTTCTAAAACATGAAAATAGAAATTGATATCATGTCCATTTATATTCAGGAGATGAACTATGAACATTACCAATTCACAGCATATCAAGCAGATATACTTGGTGCACAGAGATGTGCTTACTGTACTTTCACTAAATTGTGGAGTTTACTATTAATAAGAGTTTTAATTTAATATTATGTAAAACTCAGAGCATTATTTTGCCTCAGGTCAAGTAGCTATTGTTCATTCTTTTAGGCATACTCTTTCTAAAAGGATTGTTCACAACAGCAGTGAAGGAAAGCTAAGATCTGTATTCAAGCACAGGAAAATGACAAATTTTGTGGTCTCACAAAGGAGAAGAGACTCTTGCATAGCTGGATTTTCTGTGGATTCCAATTTGGTGTTGTGACACTGCTAACACCTAGCAGCTCAATCGTCTTTAAACTTTTTGAATAATACAAAATCAGACATAATTTGACCTGTAAAACATGTTTTGAACAGTTTGTCTCCAGTTTCTATTCTCCCCATTCTTGTGCATGTGCTTTGCTTTGATCACATAATTAGACTTTAAATTAGTGGCATAATAGAGCCTTTTAGTTCCCTGGATTGTCACTACTGTACTGTATTCAGCTTTACATTTGCCAGCATATTTTTTTTATATGCATTTGAATGTGATATTTTCTTGCAGATAAACTGGTTTAGAAATGAAATGTGGCACACATTTAAGATGTAAATTATTATTTTGTAATGTATATAACCTGAGATATCTCCAAACACCTCAAAAATACCCTAAGTATTTAAAGGGTTCATAGAATGTGTCCTCCCTTTGGGGGAAAAAAGTGGAAAGATCAGTAAGGTGACAATTAAAACAGTTTCATGTATGCACTGTACTATAAAATGTGAAAGTGAATTAAAAAGGGGTAGATATTTCTATCAGCAAATATTTTCTGTCTGATAGTAAATGTGAATACATCATGGTTTTGCATTAGGCAATATGGAATTATCTATGTCATATACTTTCACAAATGTAGTTCTTCTATTGGTATTGGGGGCAATTTCTATCATTATATGAGTAGCTGTGATAGAATAATTACATTTCAGGAGTTGGAGCAGGGGCTGTGGTGTGTTTATATCCTTGGTAGAAACAGTTTCCTTTTCCTTGAAAATAGACCATTATTTTTTCGAACACTGCAACTGCAATATATATTCATTAATATAAAAAATATATTTAAAAAAAACAATGAAATTAAAAATCATGTGGAGATGGGACACGGTATGTAGATTATATACTATCCACACAGTCTTTCATAAGATTCTGGTCTACAGAATCCAGATTGAAACAGTGATAGATTATTATGGCATAAGATATTTTCTCAGAGTCTGTTTTTTTCTAACCTATATTCCCCTTCTTCCCAATTCTCTTTCAGATAGCGGTTCTGTGGATGAAAAGGTTTAAAATCACCTATTTGCTATAGGGATCATGTATTTTGTTGATGTTCGTTTGTGACTTCTTTGACCTATTTTGTTCCTTCATTTTAGTTGTGAAATCTGCATGTTTTTTCTCCCAGCTTTCCACTCTTTTGTTCTCCTTTGAGTGTGTTGCATTTATAAACAGGATAACCCTCACTGTTGTGCTTATCATAATTGCCAACACAGGGGTCTGCTGCTGTCAAACATGATATCTCATATTTACCTCTAATTATCACCAACACTGCATTCACTATAGGACTTAAAGGACAACAGCATTTGGGAAGCAATACCTTATCTTCCCATGGGTTCTTCCAGTGTGTTTCACTAAATGCTGAATGCTACCAAAATGTATCCCAAAGGAATAGCTATTCTAGCTTTGGCCTGGAGCTGACCCTGCTAAACATTTTCATATGTCTTATATGTTTGATGCAGTTAAATTCTGACCCAAGCTTACTAAAAGCAACCAAGTAACTGTCCTTTTTTTGGTCTCTATTAAAGGCTCGGTTAGTAAGTGGAAGTTCCTTGGATGCTTCCAAGCTTTATGCAGTCCAGGCATTTACTGGGTGAGTACCAATATGACTTTGAATGCTGTTATTTATATCTGCAAAGTAGTCTCATAACATTGTAGTATTTTTTCTAAGTTTTCTTATTTTAAGAAATTGCATTGTTTTAAAGGGAAGATACACAACAAAACTGACCATGTCTTCTCCTTTTAATTTTTTTAATTACTTATTTTTTTGTGAAATCGATACAACAATTCAGGTGCCAAGGAGACTGGATGACAGATCTTTTTACCTTTTTTTGCATATAAAATAGATGACCTTTGAAGTTGTAACACAATTTTGTCTTCATTCTAGTAAATGTAATATAATGCTAGTAATATAATGTCAGTCTAGTACTTAAAAACTAAAAGGTCAAGGGAGAAAGATCTTCCAGTTGGCCGAGTGTGAATGTGGCAGAAACCAGAATATTTTGCTTTGTTGTCTCCAGATGAAGTTATCTTGCATCTAGTTGTAGGGATTCCTTCCTTTGAGGAAAATCTCTCCTTCCTATTTTGAATTGTCTGGAAAGGAGAAGAAGTAAAAGTCATTGGTAAATTTATCAGTTACATTAGTACCTAATTAAAAGGGATATTATCATTTTGCTGGCACACTCTGAAAGCACTTTTTGCTATAGATATGCTTTGTTACAAAGACAAGGTGATGACATCAGATTAATCATTCCTCTTCTTGTTTTTATATCTGAAAGGCTATACAACAGATGGTAGATACTATGAACTTTTCCTGGTTAGATTCCTATGTTTTGGGGTGGGGGTTACCCTAAAAGGTATTTATGTCATTTATTTGCTTAATGTAATTCACATGCTTCTGTGGAAGGTATAGTTAAGGTAACATTTGTACTTATTGTTAGACCTCCAACAAAATTAAGAGCATTCTCCAGCTTTTCAGTGGCTTAGGGAATTTCCATATAGTTTGTCATATCTCAAAGTCTTATGTTTCTGCCTTTCCCAATGCACAGAACCTTCAGAATTGCTGTAAAGGTGTGAGGCCACATGTGACATCGGGCAGGATTAGTTGCTCAATGTAAACCAGAAAAGAAGCAGTTTAACATCTAGTTATTGTGGAATTTAGGAGAGCATTTTGTAAGCAGACTCCAAGAGTGTAGGTACTGACAATCAGGTATGGATATCTATGCCTACAGGAAGCTGTATGTGACCATACTGTTTTGCCATATGCACTACTTACCATTTCCTAATAGATGTAGGTCTTTAAAAAGTAATGTACAAGAGTGTATAGAATTCTAATTTTTTGTGGGTTGCTCACAAAACAATCTCATAGGTGTTAGGAGAACTTTTGCTACTGACAGTGACTGTACAGACTGAAGGTGCTCTTTTTATGCCCTCTCTTCCAGTCACAGATGAATAAATTCAAGTATTGAATCCTCTGAGAATAACGTGTCAATCCTTTGTTAGGACATCCTGTAACCACTGCATGGGATGACTTCAAATGACTGACAATAGCTCAATACTAGCTCATGGTTTTATATTAAACTTTACTTCTACTACTGACAAAGGGTAGATTGGACCTCTCCCCTTTGCTGTCTGCAATATCTTTTTTAAGCCTCTGTTTCACTAGGCCTCCCTGGAAACAGTTATGCAATTTTCATTTAACTTCTCATTCAACCAAAGAATGCTGTCATTTCAAAGACTTCTGTGGCTCTGTTTTAGTCACACTTCCCAGTCTACTCCTGCATACAAAAACTAATCCTAAATTCCAGGATCCCTCAGCCTTTTCACTGACTGCAGTTTTAGCTATGATTCTCACCAGCACATCCCACATCCATGGCAGGGACTGCAACACTTCATTCTCTGCAATGATCTCCACTTGGCTGCATGAAATGAGAGAAAAGCCAGGACAAAAAAAGTAAAGGCAAAGACTAAAGACAGCTTTCCTGGGGTTTCTCATCCAACCTCTCTGTTAAAAGGCAAAAAGCACCACCTTTCCTGGGTCTTCCATACCAGTATACTATAAGAGCTTCTTCATTTTAACTTTCTTCTTCATTTTAACTTTCTTCTTCATTTTAACTTTCTTCTTCATTTTAACTTTCTTCTTCATTTTAACTTTCTTTCTTCTTCATTTTAACTTTAACTTTCTTCTTCATTTTAACTTTAACTTTCTTCTTCATTTTATTGAAAATGAGACACTTTAGAGTTCATTATTCACATATTTTTAAAAAGTAAAAGGAGGTCAGCTGGGTTTTTTGTCATGTATCTTGGGTAGTACTGTTTTACTTTTTCCAGAGACTTGGTCTGTACTAATTTACTGTTTGTCTTATGGTGAGTCAGAGACTGATAATTTTACACATGGCCTAATCCATTCTGAAATTTGTTAATGATACACAGATTGTGCTCCATGCAGATGATTACTCCTTTCCTTCACTGGCATGCTCTCAATGGTAAAACAAACTTATTTTTCTTGGGCTCCAACAAATTCAAATACATTATTGTTGTGCAAAATGTCTTCAGAAGCACATAAAAGATAGCCAGTATTGAAGATTTTTTTCATGACTTGAATAATAACTTTGATTAAACTTCTATGTCAAAGTACCGTTGGCTTATAATTGGGCATAGGGAGAGGAGTAGAGAACTTAATTTATAACCTATATTAACATGAACAGTTTTTCTATGGCTAGTCATTAATGTTCCAAAGATTATACACAAAGACCAATATTTCACTGTCAATACAGCATTGCCCAGTTTGTTGGTTCTGATGAAGTAGCTATTCTGTTTTTCAATAAAATTTGATCTCACAATCCAGATCAGTATATTAATCTTTACTTCCAGCGATTGCCAACAATCTTTGCATATTTACAGTCCTCTTACATGCTCTTAGAAGGATCGATTTGTCCTTATACAGAGAATTTGTGCATTGGAGGATTTCTAGTTTACATCCCCAGAATCTGGGCTTTTTCAGTAAAGATGCAAGAAAAAGTCCTACATAAGCAGTTCTCCAAAAATAAGATTGATTTCAGCCAAGAGGCAGGAGATGTTATTGTCGTCTAGGAGTTCATGGTCATTGATTCATTGCACAAGAGAAAGGAGACAGTTTCCCTTCACAAGCTGCAGTATGGGTACCTCTTCACCATATATAACTTATAAATAAATATTTGTTATAGCATAGAGATGCGCGGAGGAAAAAGCAGATCAAGATATTTCTGCCAAGTTGAAGTTGAGTTGAAAATCACAATGAAAAGATTGTGGGGGGAAGTACAGATTGAGTAGAAGATTAAGCTATTTAAAGAGACAGAGGTGTGAGTTGTGACAGATTACTGACTGAGCATAAATTACACCACTACTGTCATAATAAAATATCTTTGCATTATGTATTCATCTGCCTTTATTCTGTCATTCTTGCTGTTCCCTCAAAAGCCAACCTTTTCTTTCTTTGGTAACATCATCAACATGCTTAACTCAGACATAACTTTTTTCCCCATAAAAAGACTATTAGTCATTCTTGAATTTGGATTTTTTTTTTTTCCTTGCTGTGTGCTGCTCCTTAATGATCAGTAAAAGGAGTTCAGTAAGAACCTCCATTTCACTCATATTTTATGTTACAGAGCAACATAATAGATGGAAGTGATTTTACAGATATTGTCTGTCAGAAGTAGCTCTTTGTGGCATAAGAATTCCTTATACACAGGGTGAGTTTTATTTGCTGCTGATGGAACTGCTCCTGAGTACCACAAAGCCCTGAGTTTATCTCTTAGCCTCCATACATTTACTTTTCACAACCTCAGAAATGTTATTTTATTTCTATCACACTTTTGATGGGTTTGTAGGTCTGGAAGTTGCAATTTGGGTTTATTTTGATCTTTATGTTCTTGAAAAAAAATTCTAGTATCACAACCCTTCACAAGGACTGTTCATATCAAAATATAAAGGAATTGCATAAACAGCTTATGAATTCTTTCCCTGTTTTAGATGATGATGCAGGGGCATCAGAAGGGGGTATGAAAGAAACAGATTATCCCCTGAATTTATAGGGTAAGAGTTAAGATAGTGCTTGGAAAGTGGTAATGCTCATAAGTGTTAAAATAAACTCTCCTATGCTCTAAGTGCTTTACTGACTCAACTAAGATATGAAAGGCATGACCTTTTTTTCCCTTGTAACTAGAAGGACCTCTGCGAAGAAAAACAGAGGGATGCCTTGATTTTAATATAGGAAACTTGGAAATTTTCTGTGGAAAAAACTGTGTCAATCACTAATCTAATGCATCACTTGATGCATTAGAAGAATTAAATTGTAACATCTACATCCAACAGGAATCCTCAGCCAGAGTCTTACCTTAGATATAGAATTTGTCAAAGTCTGTCAGGTGGTGTGGGTGGGGTGTGGGGGTTGTAGTCCTCAAGTCACCGAAGGACCACCTGGGACCGAGTGCTGACCCTTCAAAAGGAAGTGATAATTCTGTCACTGATTTCAGTTATATCTCTTTTCACCCCAAAATTGTTTTGTGTACGAATAAAATGAGGACTTTCAGATGATAAACTGTGTTATACACCACCTTCTCTGAGAATATATCTCTGAATTAGATCTGGCAAGGTATGTAACAATCTTCCAATATCCAATGCAGAAAATGTTCAGGAGGATAATACCTGTGCTAACTGTTCTGAAGAGTCAGGAAGAATGAGGCACATTGTTATCTCTATCACTATGTATTCTTTCAAATTCTATTGTGTCAGCCTTTTATTCTTTGAAGTGATTACAAGTTGCTCTTTGCTGCTGTTTGCAAGTTATATGTGAGATCTAATTGGAGTTTAATTGTGTGCTTAATGAGAAAGCTTAAATCGGGAAAGAGAAAATAATGATGGTCACCATGGAAGTATCTTAAAATGGGACAAGCTCTGTTTTCCACATTCACATGGAGATGTGAATCTGTGACTTTGCTAGATATTGTAGTCTTTATCAAATTTATTACAACAGTGATATTCTCTGCAATGTTGGGCCGCATCTCAACTACCAGATATACAAGACCTTCTGATGGAAAGCTACTGTTCTAACTTTTAAATTAATGGTAAAAAGTTTTAGGAGGTATTAAACAGCCTTTCAGCTACTCTGCTTTGGGTGAATGCCAGAAGTAAAAGACAGCAGCACCAAGAACACTTTCACCAGCTTTTTGTAAGAAATAGAACATTTACCTTCTTTAGCTGCTAACTGCTAATTTTGATTTTATCTGTAAATACAGATATTATAAGCAGTTCTTAAGGATGCAGACTTGTAAGCCTCGTGTTTGTATTTTCTTCTTTCCTTTGTATCTCCTGCAGTGGACTGTATGGCATTGACAGCATGCCAGACCTGCGCAGGAAGAAATCTTTTCCCATTGTTCGAGATGTGGTGAGTAACTCCTGAAAGTGTCATTTGTTTGTCAGTTGTCTACACCTTTCTGGTAATTACTACTGTGCATGTGAGTGACAGTTTGTCAACAATTGTGTTAGGGAAAATAGGTATCTTGAGAGGATGGATTGAGGCCAGTAAAAGTCAATGAGGCGGTGTTATAATGGACTAGATAAGTCTGAATATCTCAGGGAATATTTAGATATTACTTGTGTAATCAAGTAATGTGCATTTCATGCAATAATAAACTGCCCATTCTCATTTTAAGTTAGCTTATGAAGACAGGTGCTATTAAGGGTTTGGGATAGTGATTGACTTGATTTGTTTTGATACTGAAAGAGGAAGAAAGTTCCTTTTAAAAAGCAACCCTTTTTCACTGTGAATATTTTAAAGATTTATGCGTACTTTTGGTACAAGATGAGGCAGGGGGTTTTCAACAGTCATCACGAACAATAATAGTCTAGAAAAATAAATTTCAGAAAGGTGAAAAGAATGGCAGTTCCTTTGAGATTTATTCTGGCTTCCAGTCTAAACAAGATTAAGTAGATCTCTCTGCTCTGAAGAATTTTGAGTGCTATTCACATTTCTCTGTTTCTTTTCCTGGAGTACAGAATTCATAATTCAAGAAAATCCATACTTAGTCTCTGATGGTGGTGAGCCCCCAAACCAATTTTTCGTTGTAAAGAAATGATGGGGTGTTAGCCTAAGTAAATGGTACTGGAGCTGTCATTAAAAGATCAGCCTTTGCTAAATTATGGCTGGGTTTTCTCAGCTACACTGTTCAGTGATACACTGTGCTATCTGAACAGTCAGAAAGAGAAAGTACAGCAACCATTTTAGGGTAGAATTCCTTCTGAAATCAATGAAATGTTACAGTGTGTGACATAGTAGTATTACACAAGTATAATCTACTGCCCCATTATGACACATTTATGCATATTAAATGACACTCTGTTGTAATTGTTGGAACTGTTTGCAGAAAAGTATAGCTCAAAGTTCATTAAGACATCAGAATGTTAATTATTCACTTTGAGAGGAGTAACACTTTCATTTTATTATTCTAGTATGTCAATGATTGCTGCTTTACTGTCCAGTCCCTGGAGGATGACTCCTCTTGAAGGAATTCTATCCTTAATAAGTATAAATTGCAGAGTTTTAAAACCAAAATTCATTCTGAAATTGAGTCATTATGGACTTACAGTATCATTCTTAGCTATGTGTTCTTTATACGTCTTTAAAAGAGTAAATTGTATTACAATTCAGTTCTACATCTGTAAGCCTAAAAAACTTCTACCAACATTAGAAGAACTTATTTCAGGCTTAGTGTAGGTCTTCATCTTTGAAAGATTATTTGTATTTAAGGTATATGTTTTAAGCAGCCTCCTGCAAGCTCTGAGCTTTCAATATGTTCCAACGCACCTCATTTAAATCAATGACTTAATGATCAGGTCCTTGTGAGATGTGATACACTGTAAATGATCCTTGTTTTATGCTTACTTCTGACTGCTTCACAAAAATAGAGATAATATTGCTAGAAATGAGTGATATACTCTTTTGATACTGACTGAAATAGATATAATTTCATATATATTTCTGTTGCAATAAATCTGACAAATTATTAATATTCTTTAAAATTTCTTTCCTATCTTGACTGGATTTTTCAGGCTATGGTAAGTACTTTTATACTGATAAATGTTCTAAAAATATAGTAAAAACGTTTATGAATTTCATTAATGTCATATTTTATTATGACCTTGTACTGGAAAGTAGGAAAAATATTTTATGACCAAGAATTTAATCATAAGAGAATGTCTTGTCCTCTGCATCATATATACCAATATTATTAGAAAGGTGTTAAAAAGGTGTTGATGTATTCCAAATATCCTTTCTAATGATACAAGCAGAAGGTTTAGCACCCAAGCATAATGCTATTGAATTATCACCAACTACAGTATTTCAGAACAGCAGCATTTTACTTATGGACTTTCTCTTGCAGATGCAGTTTATTCTGACAGTGATACCTAAATGGAAATAACCCTTGTGATTTTTTTTTTTTCACTAAAATCCCTGTAAATTTAATCCATATGACTGTTAAATATGCTGGTTTATCACAAATCCCTCTGGACATCACTTTCTTCCAACACGACAAACACTTGATTAAGAACAACCTAATTACCTGTTTTCTATTAGGTTTTGTTATTTTATATAGGGCACTGTACTATAATTTTAGACACATTTCTGATTAAGGAGCAAAATGCTAAAGTTCCACGATTCCGTGAGTACCCGTTGGGAGAACTGAGCTTCAAGGACAGAGGACAGGGCCAAAATTGCCTCCCTTTTTTCCTTTTTTCTCATGGGAAATAATATCTGTTTATTGACTTCTGCTGATATCATGAAACTGCAATTCTGCTGGCTCATGTACTTGGATGAATTGCTGGAGGACAGAGCACAGTAGCAGTCACTGCCCCATAATCCAGGTTAATGTTATTATGCCCTTTTTACTCCTGCCCTGACAAGTCATCCACATTGTTCTCTCACTTGGAACGACTGGAATTGTGCAACTGAGACCTGAAAGGATCAAATCCCTTTCTAAGTATAAGGGACATGAAGTCTACAGTTCAAAACTATAAAACTAGCACACTGTGGGCCAGTAAATATAAATGCAAGACTTTGAGAAGAAACCTATACTTTAAGAGGGATCAAATGATGGATGCTTTAAAGTAATTTTTTTTTAACCTGAAACTCTACTGATTATGAAAATTATTTCTATTCTTCTTAATGATCCCATTGCATTTTTACTTACCATTTTTTATTTTGATGTATGGGTCCTGTAGCATTAGGTTTTGTCACAAAAAGTTGGAAACAGCAAAGCCTCTGGGCTCTGTTTAATCTTTCCTGTGACTTTGTCAATCTCATTGGCACACACTGATGGAATTTCCCATATTCACAGAAATAGAATGAAAAGATGGTCACAGAGAAGTAAACAGAATTATTTACTCAATAATATTTGAATGGGAAAACTGATAGCAAATTAATGGCATAGAGAGGATAAACTGCTGAGTTTAAAAGAAAGAGAAAAGGAGGGTTCTTTGCATCCCGTCTTAACTGTAATAGCACAGTGATAAATCAAATCAAATATTACTAAACCAAGGGTGACTTCTTACCCTATAATTGGTTTCACAAGATTAATAATTTTGTGTCAATCTGCAAGTTTAATTATTATCAAGGGAAACTTATTGAAAATTGAATCAGGGGAAGTGAACATTTAAAATTAAAATTGAACAGTCTTAATATATCTAAATAAATAAATAAAAATCCATTTTAAATGTCGGTGTTTAAAATGATAAAATGGGAAGAAATTAGAATTGTCTCTTCATCCAAAGATTAATGATGCAATTCCTCTGTTGATGTGAGCCTGAATTGCTTCTGACCCGATACGTATTTCACAAAAAATGTCATATGCAAAATATCACCAAAACTTTTGCTGTAATAGCTCTGCAATGGTGAACTACAGAGACACACTGCACAGTTAGGTGAAAATTTGTATCCCCACAACAAAAGCAACAACAGACTTATGGTTAGTGGGTGGTGTCATTGATCTGCACAGTGCTGGGCTATGAGGGCAGCAGTGCATGACAAAGCAGATACTGGGTGACAGAAGAACAGAGATACAGCACAAGTATAGGGACACACATGGGATGATTTAGAATAGGGGGAAGGAAGAATGAGAACAACATTGCAGGTGAAGTGCAGTAATAGAACAGTGTTATGGTTGATATTTCGCACAGTGAAATAAATCTTACCTGTTTCTGTCAGGCCAAAAGGAGAATTGATAGCAGAAGTGATATTCAGATTCGAAATATTAATTGGAAAATACACAGAACTCGTTTCACCAGGGTCTTTTTCCTTCTCATCATTATACTTGCTAATTAATTCTCAAGGAACTGTTTAAATTTCAGGGATATTGCAGTAAGGAGTAGAAAAATTCACTGTTTATTGTATATTAAAAATACTTTATTTTGAGTCGCTTCGTATGTACTGTACTAGAGCAAATGAGATTGTCTCTACAACCCAGTGTGTATTATTTGGAACCAGGAAGTGTTCATAAACCAATAACCTCATGTGGCCAAACGAGGACAGATTGCAACAGAGTTCCAGCCTTTTTTCTTGCCTCCAGGAACCAGAGTATTTCTCCATGTGTCCATATATCCATATAGAGAAATATGGATACTATGATCCATAGTATCAAATTAATATTCTCTTTAAGGAAAACAAGAATTTAAGGTTTTTCAAGGTCTTTTTTTTTTGAAAACAAGTAACACTGTTATACATATGCACAGTTTAAAAATGCTCAGTGAGTTACAAAAATCATCCACACTGACAACTTGAACCGTAAGACTACTGCAAAATGATCTCCCATGTTGCTGCAGGCACAGTCAGCTTCCAAATTAGGACAGGATGCCTATCCTTGTACCACATTAATTTGGTTGGCAAAGCGGAAAAACAGGGACAGCCTGTGGTTTAAAAAAACTAAGTCACAAACCTCTGAATAACAGGTTTTCTATTAGAAATGGCAGTTCAGCTGGGCACTGCTGAAAGAAACAGTAATGATGATGGAAGGTGTACTTCCATTATGTACTGAAACCTTAAAAGTTGTGGGCTGCAAACATTAAAAGTTTTTGGAACTTGTGCAGTTTTGTTTATATCCAATAGCATAGTCAAGTGCTAATTGCCTTCCATTAGATTTGACAGCTGGTGTTACAAGTATAATTTTAACCATTTTGCATTTGCCTCAAACAGACACTTGCAGCTCGAAAGTCTGGTATTTCCATGGCCATGCTCACCCGGACCTCCATAAACACTGAGGAAATGGTAAGTGTGTTCAATGACACGTTTAAATCACTTAAACAATGGAGACATTTTTGTTAAAAGAACTTTAAAATTTATTTCAGCCTCAGACGCTCCAAACTGGATGAAATTGAGTGTGTAAATATTCCATTTATTGCGTAGGAACTTTCAGGAATCCTGAGCAGAATTTGCTGCCTGATCCACGGTTACAAGGCCAGGTTTGCTTCTGCTGACTCACACCCATGGCAGTCAGAGGAGACTGAGCAAGAAACCTTTGTTTTACCAAGCAGTTATTTGGGGGAAGCGTTTTATACCATGCTTTACCTGCAGTCTTTCAGCATCTTTATGTCTTCATCACATCATGGGGGCAATCAGAATGACAGGACTCTGCAAGAAGGTTTCTTTGTGATCATTATTTTTTCCCAGTCCTTATGGATGGCTGGGACACTATGTGACTTTTTTTAATGTAACTCACACTAATAACACATCATTCTTGAAGAAATGTTTAGTTCATACAAAAAGTGACCACAAGAATATTCTGAAAAATCATATTCTTATAGCTAGTAAAACCTGTGTATTGTGGTTTCCCATTATTGACTTCACTTAGGTTTTGAAAAAGAAATTTATTTGAAGCAAAACCACAAAAGGTGTCATTTTCCTCAGGAATACTTAAAGTGTGATGCAAGAAGATTTACATGGCTAAACTAAGCAAAAGGACTAATTTGAAGGAATATAGGCCCATTTCGTGTTCCTTAACTTGCTAGTGCATACATAGCCTTCTAAAATATATCCTACATTGAAGAAAAATGAAGTGTTGAATTTTTCTTACACAGTTGTTAAGCTCCATAGTAGAAGAATGGAAGAACAGAATATACTGACAGGTGTTCTGGGAGCTGAAACCCACAGCACAAATACACACACGTCCATCTCACCTGATTTATTGTGAACTTTCTGTGCTTATATGGTAATCATAAAGTAACAATTTGCTAGTGCTCAGGGATGGATTGCTGAGGTAGAAAACAGCTGGTGTTTGAAATGTTCTTTCAGTAGAAGAAGGAGTTATTTTATTCTGCTATCTCAAAATAGTAACAAAGGTTGACAGAATGAAAGAGAACTATTGAATCTTAAGAAGAAGTTCAAGGCTGAGAGAAAATTATACAGAAAAACTTACACCATGCAAGTCATACAAAATAAAGACTTTTTTATCTATGTTATAGTTTCTACAAAAATACCTAAGTTCAGTAAAAGAAACTAAGATACTCCATATGATTTACTAAAAGATGTTTACTGAAAAAACCCTATGTATGTATTTATTACCTTTTATGATGACTAATATAGATGCAGCTATTCATTTACCTGCCTCCCTTCCTGTAAAAACTATCAGGCTCTGACTTTAGTTGCAAGTTTTAGAGATAATATTAATTGCCAACAAATGCAGGACAATAAATAATAATGGGGGCTGCACTTACAGATTCTTATTGAGGGGTACTCTTCAGGAGGAAAAAAGAAGGCAGCAAATCCCAGTAGACAGCTCAGTGAAAGCATTTCTCCAATGCTTGCTGTCAACCAGGAGAAACAACTGAACTATGATTCAGGAGATATGAAAAAATAATTTCAGTGTGGTTTTATGCCTTTATACTCTTTGGCCTCCCTTTGAACCATGCCACATGAAAAACTCTGCATCAGAAACAGATATTTCCTAAGAAATCTTTAAATAAAAATGTAATTCCAAAGGTAGACAGCAAATACAATTTAGATATATCAAAGTTCATTTGATGAGAAAATGTAAAAAGGTAATTTAGAGAAGAGGTGAATAGGAGAAGCCTCTTATTCTTTAGTGAGCCAGCCCTCACTAAGCATATAAAGGGAAGTGAGTAATCTTTCACAGATAAATGTAATGCTAGAGCCAGGAAAGCCACTGGCTAGATATTTAAAACATGGAAAAGATAATACTTTTGTACTTGGTCTCTAAGTAGCCAGCTGAACTTAATAACCTAGGGCATCATTCAACAGGGTAGAGCAAGATTTGAAAACAAAAAGGACAGACATTTTCAGGCATAAAAGAACTCTCCAGATACTCTCCACAAAATGAAGATGTGAAATGCAGATGAAGAAATGCAGTCACCAATGAGAGTTAAAGAAAAAAATCCCTTTGGGCAAGTTATTCCTCTGATTAAGGTTTTCTGGCTTTTACCCTCCCTCAGCTTTTTCTAGAGGGAATATTAGTGACTCTGGTGGGAGCAGGTTATTTGGCTGACTAGATTCAGCATGGAAATTCTTTGAACTAATGCCTTTTATTAAAAAATCAAATGCCACTTATACAAAAAATTAAAACCTGAGGTGAAGGCTGTGAGCTTTGCCACCTGACAGTGCTGTCCTGGTAGAGCACACACGTGACCCAGTGAGTTTGTGTGTTTTCAGGCACAGGTCCAAAGACATTTTAAACAACGTGATACTTAAACATATGTTTTCAGTTGAGCATTCATATAATTGCTTTGCTGAACAAAGAGACGGGGAGTTTGTAAAAATAATATATCGATGACATTTAAAAGTATTTCAAGTAGTATATGACAGAAATAAACTTCAATTCAGAGGATAAGCAGATAAGTAGATAATTCTCCTATATATTGAGTGCTAAATGTTGCCATGCCCAGAGCTCAGTGAATTCATATAACAGAAACATTTAAACAGAGAAAAGTAATAGGAATGAAAGCCTCTAGACAGAAAGATAAATAAAATTCTCCTTTGCAATTTCCTTTATTAACAACAGGGGAAGGAACATGTTCAGCAGCAAAACTAATCTACAAATTGTGCCTTTCAGCTGAAAATTTCATTTACCCTCAAATGTTTACTTCAAGGCCTGTTGAGTTGTGCCATTTCATTACTTACTGACATTTTAGAAAAAGATAAAAGTTACTGGCAAAATAATTTATAATGTGAAAAACCAATGAAGCTGAACAGGGTGAAAGGGCAGGATTTGTACTGAGGCTACTAGAGTTGAGGAGTGGGACAGTGTTACCTGCAAAGGAATCTTCAAATATCTGGTGGTTTCTGAGAAGCATCATTTCTCAGCAGGCTGCATAAATTCACCTTGGGTTTCTTTCTAATCCCCGTGACTGGCAAGTTGTGACATGGCAGGCAGAAGGTGGACATATGTGCAAAGAGGGATTCTCCAGAGATAGGTGGCTGTGTCTGCCCCAGTCCTCCTTAGGGTCTGCCAAATCAAACCAGTGCAGACCTTTCCTTGCTTTCAGGGAAGTTATTAGGACAGACTAAGAAGTACCCCAGAGAGCAATTCAGAATTTGTTTTAGTCTTTCCTGCTGTATCAGGTTTTTTTCTTAGTTCAGTTCTGCAGTGTTCTCAGAAGTGCTAGGATCAAATGCCCACGAAATGTCTGACCATGTATATTTGATTTGGCTTCACAGGATGGATGCTGTTTTCAGTGTGTAACTCTTAACTTCAAGAAGAGTTGTTGCAGCCTAAGCTACTTAACACTTGGTTCTGCTATTTTTAGTGCTTGAACCTATGGATCAGTAGATTTATTGCTACATGCTAATGGTTTTCCCATGGTAGCAAAAGTCCTTTAATTGATGGCTCTGATTGTGCAACATTATACAGATGTGTGCACAAAATATATTTTATTTTTATCATTAGCAGAATATCTCACATGGTTTGAGCAGAGAAAACCAAGAACATGTCAGATATTGGTAGACAGCCTAATATCTTGCATTTGGTATAAACTTACCACAGCTGAATATTAAATATAAGGGAGTGCTGACTAATGCTCAACTGAGTAAGTTTGCTTTGTTTCCTATCCTATCAGAACTGTGGCAGAGATGTTGAAGCACAAGTGGACAAATCACACATGTTCCCAAGTGTTGTTTCCCATTTTCTACAGTATTAGAGCTACCTCATATTATATCCACACCGAACAAAGACATGGATGGACAGACAGATTTTCAGAAATATCCCTCTGTGCCACCCCTTCTAATATGGTTTCTTCTTTCTAACAGAAACAATCATTCATTATAAGGGAACAGGTCTAGAACTTCTAATACATTCATGGCAGCCATGTATGAGTTTAGTGAACACACAACCCCAAAAAACCCACAAATGTTGTAAGATCATATTTTTGTGTGGTGTCAAGTACAGCCTACTTTTTCATTCCCGGTAAATCACCTGGACTTAGAAGATCTAGGTGCCTGAAAACAAAGCTCAGATAAACAAACTGGACCATTGTGGCTGTATAAGCCCGTGTTTTACATACAAAACTTCAGAGATTGCTTTGTATTTACCTTAATAAGCACTGAGAAGTTGAGATTGAGGTTGTTACTGTACTAGTCAGCCAATAACTGTTCTTGTAGTAGAACTGGTCATGAGTCTTAAGCCAAAACAGTCAAAGAAATGGGTGGGGATTTTTGAGAGCGTGGATCATTCTTTTTTACAGGTAAAAAGCAACTTGATGCTTAAACAGGAAGTAGTGAGTATGGTATTACAGACAATAGCACAGGAATACAGATAAAATGGAACCCTAAAACTGGCCAGCTTTTATTTGAGGTTATATAGACACTAAATATTAAATGACAGCATTGTATATAATCAAAGTACATTTTGTGCAGTGTGTCTAAGTTCCTGTAGAAAGTATTTAAACATTCAGAAGTAGTGTTAGGCACCAGTGAATGTAATGTGATGAATTTTTTAATTTCTGCCTAAAAATATAAAAATATGCATAAGACTTCTTGTTAAATGACTAACTTGATTCCAGTTTAACTCTGCTGTTTCTGAATTCAGATAAAACTGTCATCCAGGGTTCTTTTGTCTTCAAAGCATAAGGCAAAATGAGTAAATCAGTATTTTGCAAATTCATACTTCTATGTATATTCTGATATTTTCTAGCATTGTAAGTGTAAATGACATATAATTTAGCTACAGTTCACGTGTATTAAACAAAGTCTTGATTTTTTTTTCTTACCCAACAGAAAATACACGTCTTCAAGAAGACATTGCAGGCTTTGATCTATCCTATATCATCAACCACACCTCATAACTTTGAAATTTGGACAGCTACAACTCCCACATACTGTTATGAATGTGAAGGTCTACTTTGGGGCATTGCCAGACAAGGCATGAGGTGCACTGAATGTGGTGTCAAATGCCATGAGAAGTGCCAAGACCTCCTGAATGCTGACTGTTTGCAGAGTGAGTATTTCTTGACGACTAAAACATTGCAATACTTCACATCTTTTGATTTTGTGTGTACCCTCAGATATATCCTGAAACAAAGGACCCGATCATCCCAAACCAGTGAGGGCATGTTTAACAGTTGAGAAGCTAGCCAGAAACTTCAGGAAACAACTACTGTTAATTTTGCTTTTGTCTTTAAAATGTGCCAAATGTTGCGGGTCAGTTACAAAATAGTGCTTGGTAACATCGGAGAATTGTTTATTTTCTACTGCCTAAGCCTAAAAAATGGCAAAGATTAAAAAAATATTCATGATACTTATTGTAGTCATATTATTGTGCTGCATAATAGACAAAAATATTAAACAGTGAGTAGGACCTTACCTTTCAAAATACCAAACCATGTATGGGTAAGGGAAAGAAAAATTTAGTCAGGAAGTCCTTTGGGACCTTTTTCTTTGCCCAGATTGATTCCAACCACCATGCATTCTCCTTCAAAGATATACTAGGTACATTGAAACCATACTTAAATTACAACACAATTATTACACAAGATTCTAAACAATAGAAAAACAAGACCTGCAAATTGTCCAACATTCTTATTTTGGGATGAAAGGCGCTTTTATAACTCTGGAGTTATTCCCCATTGTTAACTGCTGATCTGTTCCTGCGCTTCTACATGTAGGAAAAGTACATAGATATTTCAATGAGGTCTTCCTTCTTCCCACTGTGTTCTCTGTGTGAAGAGCTGTCACAAGGGATGGTTTCTCAAGGTTCATACTGTTCAGGAACTAATCAAAATTTCCCAGAGCAACTGACCCCATGGAGCCCAAACCAATGAAGAATTTCTAAATCAAGCTGTTTAACTGCGCTTCATTGTCATTCTGCACTATGGCTGAAACTGGGCTGTGTTTGACAACTAAGCTTTTTGACATAGTTTCACAAGTGAGAAAGGAATGTTTGCTTTGAAAATCAACTACTACAGAAGTAGCTTGTGCAGCATTAATGTGATTGCTGGTGGTGAATAGTCAAAGGTGTATAAAGATGATACTCATGAGCAGCTTCTTCAATAAGTGCAAGTAGTTCTGTTACTGGGACAGTAACAAAAGCAGGTATGTTTTCAGAATGTCAGTTCCTGTTCACTCTTATTGACTAATTGTCTCGTTTCATTCTGGGTATGTTTTAAGACAGGCTAAAAATAATAGTGAATTGCACATCAGCCCATTGATCTCTCTGTTTTGAGTAGTCATTTGACACCCTGTTTCTGCTGGGAATCACTTGGTTTATACTGCCTGGATTTATAGGCAAGGAAATGAGTTAAGCTTGTACTTCTGCTGGCAACAGGATATGTGCAAGTCACTTGCCAACCTGACGGAGGAAGCAGAAAATAGGAATAGCTTTCCTAAATTTAATGTCTCCCCTTATGCATCTTATCTTGTTTAGTGCTATTTATGTGCAGGGGTAAGAAAACATGGGGGAGAGGCACTGAATTGATACTGATATTCTCAAAATGTAGTGTGAGATTAATCTTGTAGGGGGGCCACAAACTGAATCTTTATGAACCACATTGGATCTAATTGAAGGTTACTTTCTACACATCCTTCAGGAACTGGGCTACTGCTGGGATTAGGAGCTACTCTGCTATGACTCATTTTTGCTGCTCCCTGAAAAGGCTTATTGTATTCTGTGACAAAGAGATAACTATCAAGTCTTCTGTAGAGTGTTGTGGGAATTCCCGTATCATAATTACATACAATAATGGTCTAGAAATAAAGCATAGCTGAAACTTAGTCCACCAGAAGGGGACCTTTTATTTTGGAGGATTTAAGAGAATAACACGTCATGTTATAACACTTTGTTTCAGAAATATTTTTAATTTAAGAAAATCAAGATTAATTTGCTCCATGAAACATATACAACAAATCTTGTTTCAACATGAGTGTTATGAAGTGTTGCAAAGATCAAATGGTTATGAGCATGGTAATCATGTCTTTGTGCTGGGAGGAACCTTTCTGTTACTGTTATTTGGGTGGTTCTCATCTCACCAAACATGTGAAAACCCACCTCTACTCCACCAGGATTTCAACCTGGTTACTGCATGGCATTCAGTCCCCTTTTGAATTACATTGGAGGTTTTTTTAATTGGAAGTTTTATATGGCAAGAACATTTATTTCTGTCTCATGGATCCTCTGTCCTGTAGTGCATTCTACAAGTACAGCACAATACAGATCAGTGGTGTATTCTTAAGAGATACCTTACATACAGTCACCCCTGCTTGAAAGACTATTTAGATCTGACCTCTAGCATTTTGGTTCATTTTTATCAAAGAAAACAGTGATTAAGTCTGTGTCTTTTCATTCCTGTGAAAGTTTGAAGAGTGGAAAATGAAAGCTTCCTGAGGTGTCTGTAGGAGCTAGCACATATCAAGTATAGCATTTTAATCTCTTTTTGCTGTTTGAGAGAGTCACAGTTCAAACTGGAATTGTTACTACAGCTATTTCTGCTCAATAATAAAAGCAATGTGAGAAAAGCAAGATCCAAGATCATGTCCCTGACAATTTCAGGGTTACAAGTTACTCAAGGGCTGCATGTAATACTATGATTTCTCATAACAGAGAATGGTTAGAGAGGTTGTTCTTTGTGAGGCTTCTTAAAAGTGACCAAATCTCTTGTCACTGCACACACTGAAAAACAACATTTAAGCCAGCTAGGCCTGAATATAACACTAATAAGGAGCTGAGCTGTTATTACTCCTCAGAATAAGTAATCCTTTCTCTGTGGGGTGATATACCTTCACATATCTGCATGCTGACCATGCCTCTTCCTGTTTCACTTTTCCAACTGTCAAGGCAATAATCCTCTGCTAACTTTCTGAGAGGTGAGCTGTTTTTCAGGGTACCACAATCATGCAGGTGACATGAGAGATGTATCCATCCCTGAAATAATTTAATCTGGCTAAAATTGAAAAGCTACAAAAGGCATACAGAGTAAAAGTATCCTTTTTATCTTCCTTTTCACTTAGCTGAAGAAAAATTCAGCCCAGAGGTTCCCTGGCCCACATCACTAACCCAAAAAAACATAAAAAATATTTCAGAGCACCATGCTGTCTTTGAAGAGTTTTTATAGATGTATAAATGAAAAGTCTTAGAGAGGGCCTGCAAAAAAAGAAATAGGATTGAAAGTCATTTGTGGGGTGAACAGTTTGAAAACATTGAGCCACAAAGTCTTGAAAGGATAAACCTCTAGAAGGCAAATTGCAGATAAAATATTTAACACACATAAGGGATCCCGCTCTTCCCATTAGCATGCAAATGTTTTTGAGCATCCTGTCATATTTTTTTGCAACAGATTAATTGTTCAGTGGGTTTGAATATTATACTGCTTTGAAAATTAGGTTCATGCACATTGTTTTACATTGGAAAAATGAATTGACCAATTGGTTAAATCTCTGTTGCTGAGAAAGCTAATGCTAACAGTATCATAAAGTGAAATGTAGTTATTTTTATCACAGTCATTCTTTGGGCCTTCTCATAATCATGAGGGTGTATTGGCCTCCAAACCTCTGTGATTTTTTTTATATGCAATGATTACTAATGTAGACTGTAGAAATGAAGTCACATCTCAAGCTCTTTAAGGTCAATATCTAACCTTGTTCTAAATTAAGTTTAAAAAAAAATCAGTAGTACTTTCATTAGACCACTCATCTTCAACAAGAAATCCCTTTCTAGTACTAGGTGCAGTATTAAGTTAGAATTGATTTCAATCATGTTGAGTTTGTATCAGTCCCTAGGGTAAAAGGGGCTTGTTAACTTTGTGTGCAATGTAAGTTAACGATATTGTCTCAATTAATTTGATCAATACTGGATGAAAAGAGTTGTTGATAGACTGTCAGCAATTGAGGATGTAAAATTAGTTGCAATAAATAATTTCATATAAATAGAAGGCTATTTTGTTAAAGGAAGTTGCATTTTAACACATATTTCAATTTTATCTGTACAATTTTATCAGTAAGGTTTTTAACAGGAATGTGTTGTTGCCATTCATATTGTGTCCATGGTTTATCATTCAGTTATGATGTTGCATTTGTACTTTTTGAGGAAGGGCAGAAAATAAGAGAAAATGAAAAATATTCCTTCCTGCATCTTCCAAGAATGACCTGTCACACTTCCAAGCAGATCAGCCATCATCCCTTTTGTAATAAAATCACTAGAGAATTCCTTATCTGGTATTTAATTTCATGGTAGCATTTAATTCTATTTCTACTAATTCCTGATTTTTCAGTCTGGAAAATCTTTAATCACTAGAACTTTGGTCTTCTGCATTCAAAAAAATTAGGTATTCTGACCTAGAGATTTTCAAGATTTTTCAAGATTTAGTGCCATGGAAAACACCTTGAAGTAGGCATATAATTCAGCCCTTTGACAGTCTGGGATCACTGGTATCTGTTATCTCATCCCACACTTTTCCAATCTTATGACATTATGCCTTCCCACTTTGTTATCTCTCTCTATATAGATATCTCTGCCTCCGATGTGCTGAGATACCTTCAGGCACATTGAAAAATGAGGAAAACAAAAACATGAAATATTTGTTTAGTAAGACTCCACTGAATTGTATGCTGAAAGATGACCCTTTCTAGTTCTGTGGATGTGTTGATAATTTTTTTCTTTAGCCATTGCAAGCTGAGAGTGACTCAACAAAAAACTCCTTCCAAAGAATGTACTGGTGTTTGATGGTATTGTAAAGACAGAACTCTGTTCTTCTTCAGTATTGAAATATCTGTATTCTAATTTCATAGCAAATTATTCAGCATAATTTTGTCTTAATTTTACTGTCCTTTTGAAGGGAACAATAATACTTTGATTCTCCCAGGAGTTGAGGATGGCTGGTTGGATGATGTTTCCAGAAGCTTTTGGAAAAGTACTTAGTGCTGCTAATGATAATGATGATGATGATTGTGACATTCAGTGCCACAAGCCTTTGAGCAGTGTTTAACAACATGAGCCAGAATTCAGCAATGCCTGTAGCAAGTGGCAATGTGTCACTGATTATAAAATTTGTAGTATTCATCTTGCTTAATATGTTAGTCTCATCAAGAGGTGGGATAGCCTGTTAAGCACTGCAGGAATTTAAATTTTTACTTGCTACATTTGTAATACTCTCCTGATCATAGGGGTCTGATGTTTCTTTCCTCACACCCAACTGCAAGATCAATATTTGGGTTTTTTTCAGTGTACATTTAGGTATTGTAGAGACATTGATCAGAAACTCTTTCCTCTGGCACACAAAGGACACTTTATAAGGTGAACTTCACTTTTTTTTTTAAAGGACCTTTGAGATCATTTACAATTGTTCGAGAGAGAAATCTCTGCAGAGCACTTCTGAAAAGAACTGTGAATAAAATCTGCAACAACTTGGTATCCTTATTTTTTTTAATTAAACCAATAAAATCTGTAGTGGTTTTGATGTTCCAGAAAAATTACCTGAGAATTTTCTTTGTTTTCCAGATTTGTTTTATAGGATAGACCTGACATATTTCCACAGGGTAGTATAGCCTAGAAGTATTCTCACATAGATAATATCCTCTGATCTCTTCTACCATCCTCATATACTTACTGAAATTATCAGAAATGACCATTTTACTGAAGAGAAGAACCTCTCTGTTCTGTACCTGTGATATGTTATTTTCATGAGTGATCCCTCAAGAAGAGTTTTAAGAAAAGCATTAAAGTTTAATACCACACAAGCACAGTAGTGGTGTTTAATGATGGAGTTTTGAGACCACAATTTAGTGCCTACTGTTCAGTTCATGTGTTCAGATGTTTTCACAGTACTGAGCAGTACTGATTCAATAAATATTTTTAGGTATAACACACCTGATGGAAGCTGAATATTAACCCATCGTGTTTAACTAAATCAGTTGATAATTTTAGGTATCACAAAGAATAAATTCTAGAGTCTTGGTATTATTCAGATTAAACAAAGGTACTGCAGTACCAAGAGTTGACTGGAGACTCTAGAGGCAAAAAAGAACTAAATTAACTTTTTAATAACAATAGTGACCTTTTCTCTCATTTCAGGAGCAGCTGAAAAAAGTTCCAAACATGGTGCAGAAGACAAAACACAGAATATTATTAGTGCTATGAAGGAAAGAATGAAGATTAGAGAGAAAAATAGACCAGAGGTGTTTGAAGTGATCCAGGAAATGTTTAATATTTCCAAAGAAGATTTTGTACAATATACAAAAGCAGCAAAACAAAGTGTTTTGGATGGAACATCCAAATGGTCAGCAAAAATAACCATCACAGGTAAATTTTTTTCTTTCTTTCGTAATCATACCCTGGTTCAGGAATAAGATTTATTGCAAGCAGAGCTGGAGCTGTGTGTTCAATTGCACACTTGGTGCATCAGCAAACAGTTGAATTTATAGCATGCTAACTGCAAGAGCTTTAAGTTACATCTGTTGGCAAAACTACTTTATATTCTTCTGCTCTAGGAAGGAAGATGAGTAAATGGCCTTGTTGCATCTCCTCTACCTCCTGCCAGTATCTCCTGTGCTAATGATGAGCTTTTTGCCAGCAACTACAAGAGTCAAAGGTCACACAAAAAGGTTTTGAGTGACTAAAAACACTTGAGCTTGCAGTTCCAGACCCCATTGGTTTGAAACTCATCATTCATTCATGTTGTTTAGCTAAGGATGTGTTCCAGTTCAGTGCTGCTGCTGCTGCACACCCAGAACATGCTCCAAATGGCTTCCAATCACGTTAGCCTGGTTGCTCATGATGATTTCCAGGTCTTCTGGCTCTGACATTCAAGTTTTTGAATTAAAACCTCACCAACAGGGGAGTGTTTTTTTTCTACTTAAGGTTGAGGGATGGTGCACAAAACTCGAAAGAATAATTGTCCCAAGCACTAGGGACAGAGTTAATTCATGTATTTACTTTTAGTTGTACCTCTAAAGGATACTGAAGGCTGTCTTGTGTTCAGGCCAGTATAATACATACCATTTAACAACTCTGGAAGACATTTTCTAGGCTGTCACTTAATTCTCCTGCATGAATCACAGCAGGTTACTTCCTTGCCTTCTAAAAATTTCGCTATGGATTTAGAGTGAATGGGGAAGGCAAAATATGCTAGTTTATTCCTAAGAGTTAGTCTTTTCAGAAATTGGATGCATAAAAGAGTAACAGAATCTCACTTTTTTCACTGAAGTCAGCACATGTGACTGAACCCACACAGGAGCTGATCTGCTGAGCAAGAAGGTGTCGTTTTTATGTAATCATTTTTCTGAGTACACCGAGGGAGCTTCATTATCCAAAATGAATGACATTAGAGAACGTTAACTAAATGTTACCACTGAGATGCTTTAAATAATATGTGCAGAATAACAAAACCAAGCTCAGCCTATGGTAGGAGACAGAGTGTTTTAGCTGCAGTTCTCTGGGTTTGGCAGGTTGCTCTTTGACAATTCTGCTTTCCCCTGAGGTTTCCAGTTTTATGAATTATGGTTAAATTGGGTGGATTTATATTTGGCACTAAATTCATAGCCATTAACTATACACCCACAATAACTGTCAGAAAAGCTAGCAAATACATAAACAGTTAATGATAATTGATCTGAACTGTCATCCTCTCTGTAATGGCATAGAAAGTATTCCGAAAACCATCATGGTTCACCTCTCACATGAGGAGAACAAATGGCATGCCCCTCATGTTTTGTTTCATAATCCACAGAGCAGACTTTTTTATATTGGAAGTTTTACTTTGTAAATGTTAGTTTAGAACTTTTGAGAAATTTTGGAGATCGTTATTTATTTTTTGGGAGTGGGGATGATGGCTGTGGAATTTTAGGGAATTATTAAGCTCAAACCGAGTTATACAGCAACATTCTATTGTTTGCCATGCTGATTAAGTCTCAGTTTGAGAAGAATATTTGAATTATGCATCAAAAGTATTTGTTTTGTGCTTGGTAATGAATCTTTGCATTTATTACTCTATTAAACTGTATTTTAAAATTGTATACAATCCAAAAGGGTAGTTAGACAAACCTTGTCAGGCTCCAGACTTATAGACGCTGGGAAAATAATCCAGAAATCTTTGTTTCAGGAGCCCTCACTGTGATGATTTTGTTTCCTGTTGCTGTTGACACTGTCATTTACCTCTTGATAATGAAGGTCATGAGGGCTAAAGCACATTTCTCTCCTTTTGTTGCAGTTCTTTGTGCTCAGGGCTTGCAGGCTAAGGACAAAACTGGCTCAAGTGACCCATACGTTACTGTGCAAGTTGGCAAAAACAAACGGAGAACAAAAACTATTTTTGGAAACTTAAATCCCGTATGGGATGAAAAATTCTACTTGTAAGTATAGAAAATACTGTTATTTCTTGCTTTTTTAATTTACTTGTAGGTAATATAATGCTACAAAGTGAAATAATCACTTAATGTGAAAATACTTTTTGTCTGTACTATGTATATTCATAGCATTAATGCATTAGCAAGTTCTGAATGGAGAGAGCATCAAAGTTTTTTGTGACTTTATCTTAAAGTAATCACACAGCTCATAATCAGGTCCTTTTGGGGGATCTATTGTTGGTGTCTGTTTATTCTAATTTTTTTAGGGAACTTCAGTAAATTTTCAGACTCCAACCTTACATAACAAGTACTGACATTATAATGCCTTCCCACGTGTCAGATACTGGCCATGCGAGGTAAATGCATTTTTATGTGAGGTGGTGATTCTCCTGAGTGAAACTGGGGAATTTTGTAGGAACTGATGTGCTTCAGGCTCTGGGATGGGCTGTTTGTAATGGCTATGCTATTAGAGACATGTTGAGAGTATGTTATGATTTTCCTGTCTCCTTTCTTTGGCCACAGCCTCTGAATGAATAGGGTATAGTTTGGGGTCAGGACACCACAGAAGTTCAACCCTGACTGCAAAAATGTTCAGTTTGTAATACATTGTCTAAGGTTTGAATAGGATTTCATGCCAGTTCTGCTAAAGTCCCTAGATTTATTTTTTTTTCCCCTAGAAAGGCATGTTACAGTACAGGAAAATCTAATTCTCAGGTACTATACTGTTCCTTTCCTGAAAATATTGCCTGAGGATGCAACGCATTCCTGACTGAGAATTTGACTGATTTGACAGTAATATCAATTTACTGTGCTATTCCTCTACGTGTTGCAGAAGTATTTGAGTATTTATTCTTTTCTTAACTTGATTATGCTGTACGACAGTATATGATGTGCACTTAACTACTATTATTAAACTAAGTCAAGGATTCTGAAAAGCTAATAAAACCCCTAGATTTCCTTTGGAAATTTTTAAGTGGAAAAGAAACATTTATTTAGGCAGATTTTTTAAATTGTTCAGAAAAGTTCCAGTCTACTCTGAAAGTACTTACCACAGTAATATCAAGTGAAGTTTAGGAGGTGTTTTATGAAAGCTGTGTGAAAACACTAGGATGGTAAATTCTGAAAATAAGAAATTATAATAATAAAGGATCTATAATTTAAATGTTCGTTAAATAGAATAGTTTTATTTGAATTTGTATTGAGAGTATATGCAAACTGTTGACACATTTTAATAGCCCAACCTTTTGGTACTACATTATAGAAGTCTAATATGTTTATGTCTAATAGTGATATTCAAAACAGGGTCTTAATTTGCTGCAACTTGATGAAAGACTGTATCAGTGATGATAAAAACAATGTGTCATTTTTTGAAGCAATGCTGAATTTATAAAGCAGCAACAGAATAGCTCAGGATCCTGCAGACATTTAAGATTCAGAAGCTCCAGCTGGTCCCTGTGTGCAACTGGCAATTTCAAACTAGCCACTCACAGCAATTTAAAATAATTGTCTTCAGAATATAACATTGTTTAGTTTATTCTTATATTCTTTTCCTCCTATAAAGAAAATATGAGTTGTCATTATCCCTATTTACATAAAAGTGGGAACAATTTCTGTGAAGGTTCAGGCATTTAAAGCAGAGCACTGTTTTCTTCAAGAAGGTGCAATATCGTAACATGAGGAGTTACCTTCTTATCATGTTGCACTTGCCCAGGTTTTCACTAGAATCTGCTCCCTTATTGTTGAGGGGGTTATTGTTTCAGTAGTGAGTTCAAAAGAGGTTTGGTCCAATGTGCCACTTCTGTTTGTCTGGAAAAGGTATCAGGGGATCCAAATGTATTAAACTACATATGCTCATGCCTTTCACAGATTCAAGCAGGTTATTATTAGAAATAAATAATTAGAAATAATTCAGAGCAAACACACACTTAGAAACTTTTTACAGGCTTCCCCTATACAGATGGTGTTTTCTTTTTGACTTATTTGTGCTACTCCAGTAATAGTTGAAGTGTCATTCCTCATTGAATGAGCGTGAGTGACCAAAGATAAGAGATTAATTATTTTCTTGCATTTAATTGTATAAGTTGCATAGTGTCAAAAGTTAGATGAGCAATTCAGCAAATTTGTTAGGATATTTTAAATGCATTTTCTCAAAGATGTGAGCAGGGCTACAATAAAATCCCTGGAAACTTGAAAAAATTCTGGGTTTTTTTCCCCATCACTAAGTATTACTATGATCTGCTGCTCTAGCAATAACATTTATAAAAACCCTTCAGACTTTACTATAGCATGAACCTCCAGGGTAACTGCTTTGAACTGAATGTATTTTCAATCGTTTTCATAACACTTGTGCTTTCAAAAATAATCTTCCTGACTTATTCAATGCATTGGATTTCAATTCAAAGTATATGAGAATTTCTGAAGTGTATTAAATAAACTATAAATGTTTAACCCCAAGATTACATCTAAAATAGATCAATATAATTTTTTCATTGACTCAAAAAGTATGATTTAAATTAGGCTCTACTAGTGATATTTGACAGTCCTGTTTAAAATCTAATTTATAACTCCTAAATGATAAATTTGCAGAAATAAAATGTGTCTCGAAATCTTACAATCTTATATTTACTCATAATACCAAAATATGCATTTAAATCTCCCCATCTGTTCCAAAACAAGGACCTGGAAAAAACATTGGCTCCCCACTGTGCATTTGCTCTGTCATAACAGATAAAGTGAGGGCAGTTCTAGTTCTTAGAGTTACACATAACCTGACATGATTTCATGGTAAGCAGAGAGTGAATGTTTCTAACAAACTATAATGTGACCCTCTGCTAAATGGGATATTGGCAGAGATTTTAACATGGGAACTCCTAAGCCATTAGAGCTTTTTGGTGCATGGGGTAGAAAAGCAAATTGACCAGCAGATTGTCGTGTAATGAATGTAATATAGGTGTTAAGGGCTTTGATCCTTTCTACTGGCATCATTAGAAATGAGATAACAGAGCAGTTTTTATTTTTTCACTAAAACATCAGTGATAGGAGCTGTTTGTCACCTTCTCTTTCTTCTTGAGTGTGGTATCTGATATGGGAAAAGGGATTTTTCAGCTTTCAGCTGCATTTTCAGCTTTAGTTACAGGAAGATATATTTGGGCAGTGTAGTTTTCAGCTTTGTAGAAACGTTTGGATCTATATCCTATAATAAAACTCTACTCTCATTCTTTTCTTGACCATTTTCAACAGTTGATTGCTGAAATATAGAAATCTGGTTTCTCTGACACTGTTTGGCAAGCACACATCTCTAATTGCCTTGCTGACTTTGCAGGTGCCACATTTCCTCTGACCATTTATTAACATCTCAGATACAAGTGTAGAATACAAAAGTCTTTCAAGTAAAGACTTCTTTCAAGAAAGAAAATAATAATCTTTCAAGATTATTATTTTACATTATTTATTCTTTCTATTTTGCACATATGTGCTCTGCTAAGTAGCTTAATTGGATATATATACTGCTAACTTCAGTGCATGGAAACATTTGAGCAAACTGATTTCAGGCATCCAAGTGTGGATGTTCTTCCTTAGAATTACACACATTTTATTTATTCTGAAATAAATTATTAATGCATTCATCTAAAGCAATATTTGGTGTAAGCAGCCAGGTATAGGAAATAAATACAAGAGGACATCACCAAAGTCACTTTCTATAAGAAGTCATTTTATACATTCTTGATCAGCTGAACTGACTTGTAAAAAGGATGAACTTCACTGTAAGTGAAGGTAACGTGGTTGGCTACCTGTTTAAATGGTGTTCCAGTGATATCTAAATGGTGTTCCACTGATATCTAAACACAGTTTTGTGAGAATCGTTGAAATAACTTAAGGATTGTCTCATAAGAAAAGTATATAGCAGACAATTATATTACATAAAACCAATTGAGTAATAAAACCTGCATATTAGTTTACTAGACTTAGGAGTTCTTCAATAAGCAGCCAAGTTTCTGAGAGACTAATTAATTAAAATAACTGGATCTCACAGCCTCAACCCAAATCAAGAGAGAAGAACACTTCTAGGAACCAATTCAAATGATAGATTGTTTGTTCAGCAATAGTGTTTTTCAGTTTCACAGTACAGCATGTTTGGTCTGAGTCTTTTTCTCAAACTGCTGTCAATCCAGATTAATTTTATACAACTCTCTTTTTGTTATGACAGAATAAACTAATGCAAGAAAAGACATAATTAGTCTCATTCTACTTTATCAGAAAGCATGGCCCGTGACCACACTGCTAAAGAATTGGGACTGTCCAGACTAGAGAAGAAACAAGTAGTGGAGGTAAGGATGTCTTTAAACACATCCTTTCTCCTGCAAAGAGGAAAGGAATAATCTCTTTTCCATGCTTACTGTTATAGTAGAACAAGAAGTAATAGGCACAAAGTCCATTTAGAGAGGTTTAAATCAGACTTTAGAAAATTTTGCCAATAGTGGGGCTAATGAAGTACTGGAATAGATTTCTTGACAGACTATGGAACTACCTCTAAACACATAAGAACAGAGTGGACAGACTTCTCATAGCAATGCTGTGGATCTGGTTCTGGCTTGCAGTAATGGCAATAATAATAAACATGAGGATAATAATAACAATGAATTGCTTCCTAAACTTACTGAAAGTAACATAGTATCACTTAGTTGTCATTTTAACACTGGGTGAAGATCTCTTGGAGAAGATGTACAATCAGGTCATGCCAGTGCATCTAATATTAAATTTACATTGAGATACTGTTGTAGAGATAGTTTACTATTACAATTTTATTACTCTAGCCATTTGAATAAGCAGAAATTCTGTGACAATTATTTCGTGTCTTTGTGGCATTCTGGCAATGCAGAAGTAATGTGTCACCAGATTGTTGGTAAATTATTAAAACTGTCTCTTCTGTCTTGCATCTGTAAATATACCGCAACTTTCCCAGCTTTCAGTGTCTTCATTTTCTGTGTACTGAAGAACAATTCACTTCTTACCTTCTTGTATCACATCTCTGTGAACGCTTTCACTGAGCATATAAAGCAGAATGGCAAGAACAGGAACACTAAAAATAGCATATGTTGTCTTAGCCTTTAATTTCTTGGGTTGATTTTCCTAGACAGAGTAAGCAGAAGTAGGAATCCCACCCAGGGCTTCTGCACAGATGTTACCAGTGACTAAGGCAGAATGTGCATGTCATTAAATAGTGCTATTTCTAAGAGTCTGGGCAGGTAAGTACAATCATGCAGAGACAGCTCTGTGATTTTAATAGTAAATCTCCCTGCAGTCACACTGCCACAGGACAGGCCAGTAGAAATATTTATTCATCCACTCTTCAGTTCTTGCAACACAAATCCATGCTATTTTTGTGGTCTTGCACGGGAGCATTGCAAACATAGCAGAGCTGACTCAGTGCTAAAGTTTTGACACAAAGATGAACATGGTTGTGTCTCACCATGTCTCACTGACCTAGGGTTAAAGGAGAAAAGGATGTGGAAGAGACAACTGAGGATATCAGGGAAAAGTGCAGTCATCCTGACCACCTGAATAAATATTTCTTAATCAGCTAAGCATACATCAGAGGGAAATCGTTGCTGTCTCAGGAGAATAAAAATATGGTATTTGTGCTGAAGTACCATTTAATGACCTTTTATATGCAGCATCTCCTTGAGAAGCAAAGCAGGAATAAGATTTCTACTAAAAGCACAGATATGGTGAGGGTCACATAAATACCTCACCAGTGATGGATCTTCCTATGCCACTGTCGAAATCCCCTGCTTAATATTTCTGTTGGGTTCCCACCTAAATGCAATTCAGGACTCCAGCAATGTTAAGCTACAGAGCTACATTTCAGGAAAATTAAATGGTTTCTGGGTTTAGCCTCATTTCTTAAGGCAAAGATGTTTATTTGATCCATCTCTATCTTCCTATATTTTATATGTCCTTGCCAATAGCTTTTGAATTTTGTAGTCAGTCAGAGAAATTTCACAGATTGCCTGTCACATTCTGTGAAAATCGGTGGTCAGGGAGAGATGAGAGGTGAGATCCTGATGGTGTCCTCAATATGAGCTCACCCCATAACAAACACCAGGGAGTTCACATTACAAAAATCCCAACTATGGGGGAAGATTCAGTATGTGATTTGCAGTTTGTTAGATGTCAGGGAAGCCAGTCATAAGACAAAAGGAAACTAGGCTTTATTAGTTTTGCTAATCACAGAACAATGTGTGTTTTAATTACCAGAAATATCTGCAAAGTTAAAATCTGGAACACAGGCAGACACAAGCATTTCTGTGATACTGAATGATGTCACAGTGCAGCAGAGTAAGAGCTGTGCATGCCATTTTTAGTGTCTGGTTGGTCTTGACAGGAATAATACCATTTACAGCACTTTATTCTTCCAAAACCCATTACCACCACTAATTAATTCTTAGAATACCCCTGAGGGGTGCCAGTTGGAAGATAAGTTAGAGTATTACTGTTTTAATGCTGGAGACACTGAAACAGATCACTGAGCAGTGATAGTACTTGAGTAGAATTCAAGTAAAAACTCTTAATCTAGTGTAAACTAAGACCCTGCTGAAGATAAAAATTTGCTGCTACACTTTAAAATTATATTTAAAGATATGTAATTTTAAAAATATTTTTGCAGCATTCTTGAGTGGATATTAAAAAACATAGCTAGTGTGCATGAGTATGACATGCCTTATAACTGGCGTCTGTACTAGTCATCAAATGTCAGCAGCAAAGTTTTCACTACCACAGACTGCTGCAGTCAACGTTAAGATATTCCAATCAAGGCACCAAAAGCCAGCACTGATGAATTGTAAATAGTTCTCATTGTGGCTTACAGAATTAAGCAGCAACAGAGTTTCTTTTCCATTTCTGTGCAAATACATGCAGGGCATAGCTGGGAGAAAAAATTTTTATCCACTGGGTACTCTGCAGATTGCAAGTGAAGCCTCCTCATTCCCTCACACATCCAGGAGTTTCTCAAATCCACTCAATCCATGAGGGGTTAGTAAGCAAATTAAATTTGCAATAAATTTTTTAGTACATGGCAGTCTGTCTCCACTCCTTCTCCTTACCAGGGAATGGAGGTCTTGGAGAAAAGAAAGAAGCTACTTATTTCCCTAGGTTTTTCTGTTTGCCTTCTTGTCTTGCAGTGATGTGTGTGGGTACTTCTTGAGTTTTTTCCAAAAGCTTCCTGACACACAGTGGAAATGTTCTTTAATTTATTTTTTTTTTTTCACTTTTTGTATTATTCTAGACTACTACTTTTGTAGTTTGCTCTATGTACTATATAGCACTCCTAAACAAATAAATCTGATCTAACTGTATCTTTCTTAGGATACTTGTTAAATAATAGCATCAAGAAGTACACATTTTAAATTAATTAATAATTTAATGAGGAGTTCTTGACATTCCTAAATAAAATCTCTGTGCATATATAATTCAATCAAGTTAATCTCTTTACTTTCTCATATATATAGCAATTCCAGTTTTGTCCCTGGCAATATGGGATGGCCTTTTATTCCACTAGATGTTGCAGGTTGTTTGTATTCTGACACTTTATGCAATTAAGCAAGTGTATGAAAATCGAGGTCAATTAAATAGACAGCAGTACAGAGATATATAGCTTGTGTATTACTCACATTTTGTATTTTATCTTTGTTTTTCCAGTGAATGCCATAATTCTACAGATAGAATAAAAGTGAGAGTATGGGATGAAGATGATGACATCAAGTCTAGAGTAAAGCAACATTTCAAAAAAGAATCAGATGACTTCCTGGGGCAAACAATCATTGAAGTAAGAACACTGAGTGGAGAAATGGATGTATGGTATAATTTAGGTATGATTTTTACTGATTTCTTAGAACAAATTGAAGTGAAATCACAGTGTCTTTAATTTTGTGACTTTAAAAAAATATAGCTTTGGTACCAATGTGCAGCTCTTAAAATCTTAAATATTGCAGGTTAATTTCATCCTTTTTTGGTTTCTGACAATTACAGAGAGCAGACTAATCCCAATGATATTAAAGAAAAATATTTCATTTAAAGCAAAATTAAAACTGTGTAAGAAAACCGAACATCTTAGAGTAGTCCCATAACAGTAGCATTCTTTGGGAAATACATTTACAAATATTTTTATTGTTCTTCACATTCATTTTATCACATATTTTAAAAAATTATTTATTACCATTCTGGGCTTAATCATCTGTTTTCCGCTGTTCTCTGTTGTCCTCGATGACTGCACTTTCTTGTCTGGACAGGTCTTTAAAATTATCAGTCTTTCAACCAGAAATAAATTAATGGAATAGTGTCTCAGAATATATTTTCTCCATCTAAACTGAAGCATAAAATAATTTTAAAAGTTAATCTCCCATATTTGATAATAAAAATATGATATTAACATTTTTATTTTATTTAAGTTAGCCTGCTCTATAAAAACTTCAGCTGAATTACATGATATAGTTTTCTGAAATTCATTTCCTAATCAACAGCTCTTTTTACATTGTCTAGTGTTTCATTTCCCAATATATATATTTCATATATAGATCATATATAGATATTTGATCTCTTATTGACAATGAATGTAAACTCTTGGGTTTTTTCCTAATTATAATGAGTTATTTTTCAAAGGTAAGATAATTGGGTCATTATGAATTCTGAATTTTATTTCTTCAAAAATTTCAGTGACTTAAACCAATGTAAGTTATTATGAAATAGATTTTTGAAACAAATCATGCTGAAATGATTTGACAGGAAGCAGTTTAATAATACCATAAAAAATGAGTCTGGTATTGCCCATGAAAGTAACTGGTGAGTGAGCTGTCCCTGTCCTCTTGGCCCATGAGGCTTTCATTCTGTTTTTTTTCCCCTGTTCAGCTGAGGAGGGGAAGTGATCCAGTGGCTTTGGTGGGCATCTGGTGTCTCCCCAGGGTCAACCCACCCCACTCAAACACAGTAGTCCAGGTTCTTGCTAAAGTCTTCATAAATAAAGGAAAATATTAATAATTAGTACAGATAATAGGATAGAAAATTAAAATAATGTCTTTGAAAAGGGAAGAGTGATAAATAAATTGCAATGCAGTCTGATTTGAATATGGCAGATAAAATAAGAAAGATTCATTATTTCACAGTTTGATATTCTATTTCATGGGCTGAACCATGTGTGAGGTACTAAAAAATTCTTGTTTTTCAACAGCAGGACTTTCTGACTTTAAAAAAGTCATTAAACTAGAATGATTTATGAAAGCTTTTCATACGACATACATGTGTTCTTGGTAGTTAATTGATGTATTATTTTTCTGCTCCTCAGAAAAGCGAACAGATAAATCAGCTGTCTCTGGTGCCATTAGACTGAAAATCAATGTTGAAATAGAAGGAGAGGAGAAAGTTGCTCCCTATCATGTGCAATACACCTGTCTACATGAGGTATGTAGGAAAAGTTAAAGTATACTCTACAGAAATGACTATTCTGTTGTTGCAAGGATGAGGAAAAAAGGCTCCAGAACATTACAGCACTGTAACAAATAACTGCTGACATACCTCAGGACAAGTTTATTTTAGATTTCCCATTTTGTATTGCTGATGGCATATCAGGTTCAGAAGCAAAGGCAGAACAATGTAAGACCAACAGATCATTCCTCCCAGTAGGTGTTAGAAAAATAAGAGATAGAGCCAGATAAGCTCTCCCTGTACTGTGTTTGGATTTAGCACTTTGATGCTCCTTACATGCTTTCTGACATAGAGAATATACAAACATTTCGGTATATTACAGAAATAGAGCTATTAACTCTGAAGGATTTATTTCCTCCTACATTAATTCATATCTTGGAGAGAGTGAGAAAATGCAAGAGAAGCACAGACAATATAAAATTTCATTTTCCTGTCATCTAGATTGCTTTTGTCAACATTGGAAAAAAAATCATCACTGACAAAGCAGTGTGTCTTTTGAAAGATTTTCCTTGTAATTGGTTCCCCTTCCCTCAAATAGTGAACCATGTAGAAATTCTGTTCCAAAAATACAATCAATTTCTGAAAGCTGATAGCTAATATATGGCTGAAAGTTCAGCACTAGTATGTATCCACAAAATCCCCTTGTTCACCATTTGTAAAGCTAGATATTCACAGGGCGTTTGTGCTGATAGATTTTGACCTGCTATTGCTTTAAGATAATCCTTTAAGAGGCAGTTATGGGCTAATTAGCAAAACTGAAAGTATTTCAAAGTTTTAGGGTTTTTTTCACCATTGAAAATAGGAAATAAAATTGACTGCTCAGTTAGCTTTACTCCCAAGGTTACTAAACATAAATTTTATTGCACCCCTTGCACTGCTTGAGAGGCATCTGCCATATTTCTGTTATCTTCCTGTAACTTACAGGTCTCAAATAATGAATTTGAAATTTATTGTTCACAGAGCCAATTAAAGTTGAAACACTATGTAGTTAAGTGTTACAACATCACATTTTCATTCATTAACAAGAACAATTAATAGGTAACTTTCTGCAGTATTTTATGTTGCAGTCTTTCTGTGCCAGTTGACTGTCAGGACTTCATATCAAGGAGACAGAGCAATGCTCTGAATCACAAGCCTGCTGAGCAGTTTGTGCCAGTCTTCAGAAAAATAAACAATAAAAAATCCCTGGCAATTCATATATTAACGCCTATATATAGGATGTATTTTCAGAATGCTACTTAAAAGCCTAAATTCCCTGTTTGAAACGTTTCTTACCTTTAGAATCTGTTCCATTACTTGACGGAAGTTAAATCTAACGGGGTTGTGAAAATCCCTGAGGTGAAAGGCGATGAGGCCTGGAAGGTGTACTTTGATGATGCTGCACAAGAAATCGTGGATGAATTTGCAATGCGCTATGGAATTGAATATATTTATCAGGCTATGACGTGAGTATTAGCAGGTCTGCTTTTCTGCTCTACTCTCAAGAATCTGAGGGAATAGATGAGTTCCAAGGCTTCGTACTTTCATTCTCCATTTCTCTTCCATTCCTGATTTAAATTTTTGTTATAATTTTCGTCCATTTGATTCTTGTTGAAGTGCTTCTCATCTGCAGTGGAATTAAGATATATTATAAGCATTTATGAACTGTTACTGGTATTACTGCTAATGCATTTCTTAATCCTTATGATACTCATATATAGGAGGGCTCAGAAAGACTTCCAGTGTTCCAGATGGGACTGGGGTGGTTGAACAGGGATTCACAAGCTCTGTGCTCTTTTCCAGGAGTACAGAAATCATCATAGAACAGCAGCAATGTCTGTAGTGAGCTTCCCTAGTATATGTAAATAATAAATGCAAACTGGTTTTGACAGTATTGAAACCTGTTGTTACATTGTCCATTCTAAGCAGCTGCCTGAACACTTTAGAACACAGCACCATTTAGCTTGGAGGCCTGGAGGCATGAGAGCCCCATCATGTATTCTCAGTTGTCCAGTAAAAAGTTTTCTGGTGAAAAGGACTACACTCTGCCCCTACTGGAGCTGTAGGAAAGCAGAGGACTCCAAATGAGTTCTCTAAAGAAGAAATAGTGAATTTTTTTTCTTACAGAAAGCTGATATTATGGAATTTTGAATCAGAACGTGTCTCTCATTTTCACCATCTCTTTACCTCCTGAAAAGTCATATAATAAGTATGAAGGCACATAAATGTATGAAGTTTTCTTTTTATTGCAGGATATAATGGCACCATCTGCTACTGCAATGAGCATGTCTTTCACTTTATGTAGCTCTCTATGAATTATTGTACTGTACATCTAATAGAAAGGCAGAGGATGTCTTTGCAATATATACATTTTATTGCTTTTCCTTCAAGGACCTTACACAGCCTTGCACAGAATAATTTATTAAACTTGACAGTTCCTGTGTGGTATCACATATCTTAAGTATATATGGAGAAATTCATGCATTGAGTTTCCTGAATATTTTTGGTTTCATGTTTAACTTCTCTTTAGCCATGTATGTTTTTACATCTTGATTAAGTTATGTCTCTTATTAACTAGCGCAGTATTATAGTTTTATAACTTGATTTAAAATGGTATGTTGTTTTTATCAAAATGTTAATGATAGCGTTGCTCCTGCTGTGTGTATCAAAATGAATTCAAGGTTTGATGAAAGATGAATTCTCAAGAGCTATTAATGCCAAGGGAGGGCTGTTATTACTGGTTTGCATTAAGAAATAAAGTACTAATCTTGATTAGTGTTTCCTCTTAACTATAGCCCAGTAGTTGGTTATCTCAGTACCACGTGGCAGTATTTCTGATGGACAACTTGAACTGTAAAATTATTTTGAAGTTGCTTTTTCTTCATCTCTTGATGTATACCAGTAATGTGAAATTTGCCAGAAAAAGTTTGAAACTGGTTTTAGAAATTCAAATGTTGCATAAGTCAACATTGCAAAAATAGCAATATAACTGATGCATTTAAAGAACTTTTTCACTTCCAGTGTTAGAAATGAACAGGTTATGTTTTCATATAAAGTTGCTTTTCTTTTAATAAAGAAGATACTTAACTTTCATCTTGGTAAACAACATAACACAGAGATAATCATGAAAAGGAAATAAATTTACTCTGAACAACTAACATGGAACTGGGCAAGTACTGCAACACTTTTTTCAGGAATCCTTACTCAGAAATTCTAACCAAGCCATTTTAAGTTAAATGACCTACTTTGCCTTGTCCTCTTTTTGTTCTTGCTTTCTTCTATACCTTTTCCACCAAATTTCCTTGCTGTTGGTGACTGCAAGCAAAGTATTTGAAGGCAGGTATAATAAGAAAGTTAATTTAATATTGGTATTCACAGGAAATAAAAGCTAAGATTTCACTGCCCCCATACCCACGTCCTTTTAAATGTTGCTTGTTAATAATGAGCCCTCCCTATTTGAGGGGAAGGTCTCATCCTGTGTAAGTTAGGAATAAAATCAGTAATGAATGTAATCTCCAAAAATACTTGGAGAAGAATATATATTCATATATATCATTTTGCTGATTCACCTGCAGACATGTCTCAGAGCATTCAGACTTTGGGGAGAAGAGTAGTGAAAAAAATAGATCTGTCATGAGGAATTTTCTTTTGGACTATTATCTGTTGGTTTTACTTCTTTTTATGAGATCACCTTTTTCTTGTGGAACAATTTTAGTGGCTGGAAGAAAATGTACAGTTACTTGATTTGGAAAACAAAATTATCAGATTCCATTTGGTAATGAAGAGCTCCTACTAAACAAAAGCAATTTTCTACCATACATCAGAGAGGGAATTTGAATGTAATCACTTTGCCCAAAGGAATATTGTGTAAGCATTCTTTGCTCGAGAATCTAGTTGCACAGTACTTTTACTGCATGTCTCAGGATAACATTGCAAATTAAAATGTTTGCATTTGTAAATGAAAAACTGACTATGCTTTAATACTCTATGATCCAGACCCCCAAGAGCATCCACATGCTCTTTATCAGGCTCACATGAGTTTTAGGATGTTGTTAATGAGGTGCTCTTTTTGTCTGAGTGTAATTTTTAGTATTCAGATTTGTTTTGAAATTAGCTACCGTATAAAGCTTCAGTGTCACTTAATGATAGTCAGTCTTGACCCTTTTAAGTATGGGTAGATGGCCTATGCTGGAATAGAAACATATGCCATTCTGCATTTCTGAACACAACAAAAGTCTTATTAAGCTTCCCTAAAGTACCCCTGTCTAGAACAATTTGGCATCCTGTTCCAGTAAAGCAGTAAACAACCCAACTTGTTTATCATTGCTGGTTCATGCCAGTGCCTTTGTCATTGTGATCCTCTTATGTGATCCCTGATGATTTTTTCCTGGCTCTCAATATTTTTTTATATTTATTCCTTTAGAGCAAAGAAATAACACTTCAAAAATATGCTGTTGATATTCCAAATACAGAGTATACTCATACTGGAATGTGGATACCAACCCAAAAGGTATCACATAGATGGTTACTTATCTGCTCTCAGTCATTGTCCCCAGTGAGACCTTTCTCATTAAACTTATGAGAATGAATTCAAGCTTGATTGCACCTGTTGCTGGAAATAGAGGCATCCACATTTCTGTGAGAATAAATGCAGTTAGTTTTTCCCTGAAGATGCCCACTTAGAAGGGGTGTCTTACTCTCAAGACACAGGTTACAACTGCCCAGTTCCTAAGCAAGGAAATCTGCTTTTAAGTCACCAAATGTGGAATTCATGTGAGTAGAAAACCAATCATTGACCCAAAGTCAAAATACACCAGAAAGTCTGCTTTAGTTGCAGTAATTACAGTTCTTTGAAATCTTGACCAGACAGATTCCATAATCCACCCTTCTTTTTTATGATTATTATGTTCCTCCACTCATCATGGAGTCTGTGTTAGGAGAAGAAATGAAAGACAATTGCAGTCATTCTTATATGGCTCAGAAAAGATTTTTTTTTTTAATGAATAGCAGCCAGATAGATGCTGTTAGCTACAGGAATAGTATGTGTAACTCCCAAAAGTAGAAACATATATGTGTGAGAACATAGGAGAGAAAACAGCTACCACAGAAAACGGGAGGGGAAAGCAGAAAACCAGCTCAGTGATCTGGATGGCCTTTATTTTGATGACTGCGGTGATTGATGGCAATTTATGCTGTAAATTCAATGTCTTGAAGGAATCATACTGAAACTTTATTTACCTACATATATTAAGCCTCCTCTCCACCATCAAAAAAACCCAAACATTTTTCCTCTCATTCCTTTTTCAATGTAATTTATTTCTCTTTAAGAGGCAAAAATCAGAGCACGTATTGAAACAGTGTTTGACTAGACACTGAAATTATACATAACATCAGCAACCTGGATTTACTGTGTAATGGAGTCAAGTGCATTAAAAGCTCTAAGATCTTTGCTTCTTACTGGCAAGAGTCACCACAGGTAGAAGCTAATGCTCCTCAATCAGTGACATAGCTCTCATTCCAGCAGGTTAATGGACATTAACTATGTCATCTTGTTCTCCTGCTAGTCTTCAATTACTGTGGCAACATTGCAAAAAGCACACAAATCGCCCATTAAACTAATTTTTTATTGATGGCATTTGGTTGCTGAGTGTACAGCACATCAATTTGCCTTCTTTCTTCACCAATTCACAGTAGCAGAAGTAGTGGAAGAATCACAGGCACTGCATGTTAGTCAAGAAATTGCATAAAAAGAAAGTTGGAGCAAGCAGGCCTGGTTTTAGATCTGGCTCTAGCTTAAACAATGCAATATTACTCTAAGATGTGTGAGACTTAACACTGTTTTCTGTGACATTTTCTACACACTAGAAATTGTTAATAACTCATGTTATTTGCTGCTCTTTTCAAAGATCTACAAAAGCAAGGAAGGAGGTTACCTTTGGTTTATATATGTTAGCAAGCAGAAGAAAGCCAGGTGGCTTGCAGGTGGTTGATAACCTGAGTTATCAACACTCTCAGAGTCATGACCCATATTGCATGTGATATATTTAATAGGTTCTGTGAGCTTGAGAGATTTTAATTAAACAAGGGAGAGAAACAAAAGCCTGTCGCTTGATACTTTATCATCATTTTCACTAACACAGGTGAAATGGTGCAGTGATACAATGAGGACACAAACAAATTACACTAAGAGGTTTAAATTTTCCTCATGACAAATTGGTGCAATTTGGGACTATTTTAAATATAAGAGCTCAGTACAGGTCATGGGTAGCTCAGTGTGAAATGGTTGGAAGAACCTGCAGAAGATGCCATACCAAACTTAAAATGTCGACCAGAACTATTTTTCCATGGTCTGTCATGTTCCCTGAAGGCAAATGGCACAATCTCAAAGGCTTCTCATATAGAGCTGCTGCTGACAGCCCCTTTTGCCTGCCTCCTCACACAGCAGACCATTCTGCCATGTTATAGGTATGACTCTAAGGCCAGTGGGGTTATTAGTGCCTTCTTCTCTCCACATTGGGGTTACTCATACGCTAAAGGCCTTTAGGTCCACTAGAAAATTTTTGGAAATTAAAGGTCACCGGTAAAAGTGTATATTCATTATTTTGGTGTCGTTTTTTTGAAAAATAATTCTATTCATTTGTACTTATATTTCTCAAAATTCATGTGATTAATATATCAGGAGAGATTTCCATTAACTTTGAAGGTTATCTTTCGTGGTAAGAATCACCTGACATCACTATTGTATTTTATTACAAAGGAAATTATTATTCTTCTACTTGACAGAAAACATGTGACATATAATGACAGGTTCTCCTAAGGGGTAGGGAGCTGTGTTGTGTTTTTGTCAGATTCACACAGTGGCATTTAAAAGTACTTCTTGAAAATACTGGCAGTGAATGAAAGGTTTGATAATATTATCCCATGAGCACATAGCTGGGAATGCTGAGTTCTGGTCCTGGCCCAAGTGATTGATTTGTGTGTAGATTTGAGCAGTTTCTCTGTTTTCTAAAACAGAGATGACAAAACTTACAGATCAACCTTACAGGAAGGCTGAGAAATGCTTGTAAAGCATTTTGAACATCACTACCATGATACAACTTGTAAGTATCAATATACATTGGGGCAAGACTGTGTGATACATAAACCCAGCTTGAAAATACTTTAAAGAGAGTCTAATGGTAGAGAAAGCCCACCTGGCTTGGCCTAGAAAGGCTGCAAATACAGAAACACCACACATATGAGGACTGTAGCCTTAGATTCTCTTTAATATGTCAGAGATTTTGGATGATACTATAAAGTAGCAAAACATGAATACGTGCTGGGATTTTCTTTAGGTATTTTTACATACATAGTTAATTACTTGATTTTTTCTTGGGAATTATGGTTTAAATTATAAGTGGATTTATCTTGAGTAAAATGCTAAAGAGTTAGAAAATTACCATTTTAGAAGTTTTCCTGCCAATTACCTTTCAATTACAGGATCAGTTGACATGCATCTCCTGTGCTTTATTTTTTTTAGGAAAAATAAATAGAAAATACTTTCATTTATAGATCACACACATGTTTGGAGCACTCACTGGTAATTAAAACACACTTCCAGTCTAGAGCACTTGAAAACTTTGGTCCTGCATTGACCACAGAGATCATGCAACTGTCGTGAGAGGTGGATGTGTTCAGCATCACATTTACCTTACTGCAAGTAGCTGATTCCATTTTCAATCTTTTCCCAGGTTCTGTAGCCTGTTTCATTGACTAAAGTGCTTGAGAAGAGCAGTTTGGTCAATAGTTTTATGGTATCTGCCTCTGATATCTAGGTATGGAATGGATATCAAATGCATTTAATGAAGACTGAATCCTGAGCCTGGGCCCTTGGGGAGTTTCAGAATTTTCTTTTTTAACACATCTGTGACCTGACACAGATTTCTGAAGTAAACTACAGTTGAGATGTCTCCTTTGCCAACTAAATGGAAGTGTTGGAGAGTGCTTGGTTTGTAGTGGTGTGAGTGACTGACAGAGACAGGAGTACTGGAAAAGCAGAAGCAAGAGATACTTTGTGATGCTGCCTTGTGATTCACTCCATTCCCTCTAATTTCCCTTTTAAATCTACAGACTAACAGAACAAGAGTTGTTTGGTAGACAGAAAATTGCAATTTCCCCAAAGGGTTATGAAAAAGGCATCTACAAATACACTTAAGGCATCTACAAATATATGGAGTCAGTAACATGGGGGACCCTAGAAAAGATACTGTTGTCTCTTCAGCAGAAGCAAGTTTCTGCAGCCCTGGAACATCAGAAAGCAGGAATGTAATTATTAGGGTCAGTCACAATAGCAGATTGAAGCAATTTAGAGGACTGCTGAGACAATGAGCGGGTATCAGAAAGAATAATGCAGGTAGAGTGAGTTTGTGTGCAGGCTTGGAAGAAAGCATGAAGAACTCATTTTTTATAGCTTTAGGAACAGGAATCCAAACACAAGATGAAAATAATCTTGAATGATGTCTTGAAAGATGATATGGGCAGTGACAGCAGTAAAGGGTACTTGGCCCAAGTCCAGCAGGACGGAGCTCAGTCGTACCTTGTGTTAATTTTTTTCTTGGAAGGGCACTAGTGCCCAGGTGGTTCAGGCCCAGCACACTGCTCTGCCTTATGCTCCTGAGGAAAAACAGGAGAGAGGAGCCAGAGTCTCCAGCTAAGAGGAGCATGTGGCCAAATCAGGACCTTCAGTCATACAGAGAGCTCCAGAGTGACTGGAGTTTCTTCATCCTTTTCTGTAGGACTGTACACTCATTTTCACCATCATCTTCTCTGCCTAATCCCCCTCATTCTCTTTCCTATCTATGTACATTTACTCTTTATCCCTTTATCTCCTTCCCAGTCCTGCCTAACTATAAATCTTGACATCAGGAATTTCTGTTTTCACTCTCCTCATGCGTTAGATCTTTCACCCATCTTATCTCTCATGTTTTCTTGTGTTGTAAACTCTTTGTATGCTACAATCCGGCATCTCCTGCTGTGTTAAACAAGTAAACAGTGCTGCTGCTGCTACATTGCAGCTCTGGTTTGGGCTGCTTTGGGTTTAACAGACTGATTACCTAAATTTTACTGCCCTGAATCAAAGTGGAACAATTTCAGTTATGGCCTAAATCAAATCAAGGTGGACCCAGAAGTTGCTTTCATCAATAATGTAGTTTAAAATGAAAGCTACACAAAAATGCTTGACTCTTTTTGTTGGCAACAATTAAATCCTTTTATGCTGTAGATCTCTGTGGCTTTTTATGTTGATAATGTTTTTTTTTTTGTTTTAAGTTTGTGTTAGTAATGAACATTTTGCTTAGTAGTAATTAAGATAGTCAAATCATGGGTTTTTGTTTAGGATTAACAGGGTAAGAACCAAATGCGAATTTGATATGTTCAATTTGCAAATATCAGTGTGAAGGAAGGAGCAATTATATCAAACATGTCTGGATTTTCCTCATATGCATCTGCACAGCTTTCCATGAGGTAGCTTGAAAGTTACATCACTGGAGCTGAAAAGAAATTGTGGTGAGAAAACGAACAGATTCCTTGCCACCTTTAATAACTGTTGGTTTATTTGAATTGCAGGCACTTTTCCTGTCTATCTTCTAAATATATGTGCCCTGGTGTTCCAGCAGTTATGAGCACATTGTTGGCCAATATAAATGCTTTCTATGCTCATACCACAGCAGCAACTAATGTATCTGCCTCAGATCGCTTTGCTGCTACTAACTTTGGGGTAAGTAGACTTTCTTTTTTAATAGAATTCCAGTCTTCTCTTTTTTTTTTTTTTTAAGGCTGATATCAAAGGTATTTTTGATTTAATAGTTTTCATAAAATACCATTTATTGACACAAAATATTGATCATAGTTGAAATTTATTAAACACAAATTACAGTTGTTTTAAGTAGTGATAGAGATACTAGTACTCTTCTCCAGTATTAGAATAGTAGAGACATTATGAATTTTAGGATTTTCAAGACAACATTTTGAAATTCTACATTTGGATGAGTAAACCAAGAAAGACTTAATTTTGGTTTTGCTTTTGTCTTCCCATCAGAAGTCAGAAACATAATTATCAGATTATCATTGGTAAATAAATGCAATTCCTGCCTGGAAAAATGTGTAAATTTTTAGTTTTGCAAAAAATATTTGCTCTGGATGCTAAAACAAATTTTGGGTTGTAACAAACAGTGTATTAAGAATAGCATTCCTGCATACTTTTATCATGCAAGGCCTCAAATACATGAAATTAAACATTATTTTGTATTTCCTGAACACGCACCTTTGAGATAGAACTTATGTCCCTAAATTCACTTTGTGTAGTAAACACACCAAAGATTGATTTCTGTTATTATTACTGAATTCTGAATATGCTCAGGATCTGATGCTCTGCTTACAGCCATAAATAGTCCAACAGTTAGTTCTAAATACTCCTAAAGTAGTAGTGACAATATATTTTGAAATTTAAGGGATGTCATAAGCCAGTAAAAAAAATGTTTAAGAATTCTGTTGTCATTATTTTCGAGTCCACACAGTAATTTTTTAGAGAAATATTTACTCTCAGTATCAATTGATTTTTCTTTTAAATGTTCAGTCTGGTGGAAATGCCCACATATAAATTTAGCCAGGGCTGGGTCTTTAGTTTGGAGACAGCTTGTTTTTGAACTGAAACCTTATCTCCTGCTGCTAGAGATTTGATTTGGAAGAGGAATATTAACCTGGCTCCTTCACTTTAAAGGAAAACATTTTATGGTCAAAAATCAATGTTAGAACATTTGTGATTCAATTATTGTATTACCATGACAGTAATACTTTTTTGTTCTTACTCAGGTTTTCCTTTTAGAGTAGATTGATGGGTTTTTATGGAATGACTCCATACTGTTGTTGAAACCAGGCTTCTCTTTCAATGTTCAAGCTCTATCAGACCTTTGATGCAACTTTTGAAATTTAGAATGTTTCTGCTGGATTTTTTATTCTTTTTTTTTCCATTTTTCTAATGATCAGAACTACTTTTATCCTCAGAGATTAAGTCCTTTCTCTGATGTTAATGCCAGTTTAACTTTGACGCAATTCCAATCCAATTCATAGTTCAACAGATGGGTGGAAAAAGAGTAGTAAGCATCACTAATAGAGATTTGGAGCTCTTTTTTCAGACAATTGACTTATAGGCAAAATATTAGATTATTTTTCTCTCTTGGGTCAAAAGGCATTTGTTAGTGAATAGCTGCATATCATTCATCAAAAAGAACATCTCAAATTCAAGTCCTCAGGCTACAGCTGGGAATGATTTGGCTGACTGAATATTTCAGTACAGATTTATAACATGACAAAAAGTTCCCTTTTGATTAATCCCTTAAGGGAACTGTGCCAAATTAGTGGCTCTTGGTGTAGGTTAGTACTCCACTGATGAGAGACAGTGCACAAAGACTATTTTCAAATTACTGCCGGTCATATTTGGGGGAGGGTGTGGGTACAATCGGTTCATCCTGAGAGGTGTCAGATCTTGCTACTTCCAGAAGTCTGCTGCTTTCACATAGGCTGATGAGGATTTCTGCACACTTTTGTGCAGCAGACTAGGGAATATGTTCTAATATGGTATTTAGAAACTCTCATTAGTATTACTACTCAGCTGGATATCTCACAGCAAAATATTTTCACTGCACCTTCATCTGTCATGATAACAAGTTAATCTCCACATTTGAGACAGAAGACTATGACAGCACAGTATTAGTATTACTTAGCTTATTCCTCCAAAAGTCACTGTTTCTGAGGTATAATTTTCAATCATACTTTTATGCCAAAATCTGCTGTAAATGAGCGTAATTCCTCACTCATTAAAGAGAGGGGGAAGTGCTTTCTTCAAGAGTGTAAGCAATCACAAGGTAAATAAAAGAAAGGGAAATACTGCATCAGATAGTCTGTGTTACCTCACTAATGCATTGCACAGCTGCAGTTTAATGCATACCAGGTAAATCTCAATATAGGATAGAAAGGGAAAATCAAGTGAAAAAAGATGCATTGCCTGGCCTTGAAACACAGATATTTCAAACCAGCATTTATATATGAAACAATGGAAAACAAACTGATTTTCCAATAAGTTAAAAGTGAATAGCAGCTTTCTGAAACCCCACCAGCTACAGGAACCTGCAAAATCTGTTCTTGTTTTCTTTTTCCAGAGAGAAAAGTTCATAAAACTGCTGGATCAACTGCACAATTCTCTGAGGATTGATTTATCCAAATACAGGGTATGTACAGTGTATTCTATCTAGAGCTGACATGAGACACCAAATTCTTTGGAACAAAAATTTACAGAATTCAAGCAGTTTAACAACAATATTTTTCCAATTTGGAAAAAAAAAAAAGTAAAGGGAAAAAAAAGGGGGAGAAAAAAAAAGAAAGAAAAGAAAAACTTAGTATTTTTTTTCCAAAAGGTAAGAATGGGTCAAGGGATGAGCCAGACATTCAAGAAAGAGTATGATTCAACAACTTTGATTAAATTAGTCTATAATTAAGTTAATTCATCTGGGAATGCTATCCAGATAGTATTGTAGCATGAGGTTATTTGGCCCATGTTGCATTAATAGGAACCCATTTAAATAACACTACTTCCCATCAGTCTGTTAACCCAGAGATCATAGCAAAAATTATATATATTATTTCTTCACTAAGATTGCTACTGCATTTATGCCCACAAGTGATGCATGTGCCATGAAAACTGATAAATTATTTAAATTAGCAACAGTTTCCAGTCTTTTTGTAGTATGTTTTTACTCCATTCATGTTTTAGAAATATAACACTAGTTTTAATCTTGATATTACAAATACAGGAGCATTATAAGAAATGTTCCTAGTCATGTCAAAGGGATACTTGTCACTGACTTCCTCACAGGCAGAATTCAGGTAACATGGGAACACCTCTAATCCTTCCAAGCAGCATCTTAGTTTTCCTAGAGGGTTTTTAAGTAGTTGTTCAAGGATCTTACCTGTAACCAAAATTTTGCACTCTTCCTCTCTTCCTGATTCACCAGGATAATTTTCCTGCCAGCAATTCTGAAAGACTCCAGGATCTTAAATCAACCGTGGACCTGCTTACCAGCATTACTTTTTTTCGGATGAAGGTATTGTCCTTTATTTGCAGAGTGACTCCAGATTAAAAAAAAAAAAATTAAAAGCTGTTACCATTTATTTTCCAGGAGAATCATACTCTAGTTAATACTCTTAATCAATCAATCTCCTTTGATTTTAATTTAAATCTTTCAGGTTACTGATGATCATTGTAGGAAAGTCATTTTATTCATACTTTGTATTCACAATGTGATAAGAGCCATTATTTAAAAAAATAAGCAACTATATTTTCCTTTTTTAACTATATTGTTACATCTCCTGAAGAAAACAAACATCTTTTTAATGAGTTTAAAATCAAACCACATAAAGCAAACTCAATTAAACTCCTTAGGAATATGTATCATATAGAATAATGTTTTCTTAGTAATATCATAAAATCAGAAGTCAAACAGCAAAATAGGTGTGATAACTCTATTTGCCTTAGTAACTCCAAAGGTTGATATCTAAGTGATCACGTACAGAAATATTTTGGAATGGAATGATACTTGTTAATGTTACTGAATGAAAAAACAAACACAAAACAACAGTTGCTGTAATAGTATGTGATTTTACTGCATTAGGCACTACATAAAGAGAATTAAAATAATCCCTTAAATTAAAGTTGAAATTAATGTATCCTAAAGTGGAGGGAAAAGCTGAACCCTTTGCTCTAAAAATTAAAGTGCTGTTTGGCTGATATTCTTATTCAGAGGAAAGCATGTAATTTTATGGTTTAATTATTTCCTAAATAATCAAAGAACTTTCAGGATGCAAACCCTAAGATGTAAAGGTGTAAACCCTGGGGTCTCTTTCAACATATGAGTAATTTCATTCAAATAAAACTTAGAGATACAATCTGCTTGCCTAACTTAAGCATGTGTTTTAATGCATTTTTGAACTAAAATCATCTTAAGTCAAAACAATTTTAATTTTTTTTGTTTTATTTGCTTCAAAGCTTTTTCATTCTGTATGACAGAACTATATTCAATGATTGGATTTGCTGTGTTCCATATAATTCTGACATTCTACCATTTACCAAATATTTTATTAGGTCCTGGAATTGCAGAGCCCACCTCGAGCCAGTACTGTGGTGAAAGACTGTGTAAGAGCCTGCCTGGACTCAACTTATAAATACATTTTTGACAATTGCTACGATCTCTACTCCCAATTAGTGGATCAGGTAAGGTCAATATGAACTTGTTTCTTGCTCATTCATTATTGTTAGTTTACCTTAAGTGAATAGAAAGCCTTCCAGTGTTCCTTCATATCAAAGCTCTCAGGCTGTTTTCATTTTATTTATGGTTGAAGGAGCAATATATCATAAATACACCCACAGACAGCTATGAACTCAAAAATGTTTACCAAGCTGAGTTTCAAAACAAGCATGTTAACTTATAATTGAGTCATCGCATCAGATATGACTGTAAAATTGTCCAGTGGTTTTAGGGAAGATGACATTAGATTGATTACTTTTCATTTAAGATCTGTAACTGGAAAATAATTTTTGAAGATCTAATATTTTACTTTAGCAGCTTTAGAAAAAAAAAATATTATAATTTGCTGAAAATTATATACTGTCTTTCCAGCCTTATATTTTAACATATATGATGCATACTTGGATCCAAGCTTTAGTAACAACTTTAAGAAAGCGGAGGATAATTCTAAAACAATTCTTAATATTAGTCTGTCAGGCTGAAGTGTCAATGCAAAATAATTATAGCATTTGTTGTATTCCAAACATGATTCAAAATCTTTAAAAATGTTGCTTATTTTTTTCCTACTATATGGCCAGAGTTCATTCTATAACATTAAAATTAAGAACTGTCTTAAAGGAGCATCACTGCTTTATCACATTACCTCTTGTTTCTTGAATTTTCTTTCTGGATGGTACACTGAAAAAATGGTATTACAGTGACTATTCCATCCTTGAATAGGATTATTTGTTTGACAAAAGCACATTTTCTGTGTAGTATATATTTAACAGGAACACTCATACTATTGATATAAAACATCAAATTTCATCTGAAAGTACATTTTATTTGAATCCAAAATATTAATTACTATATTTCAGGAAAGGTAGTATATGCTATTTATTTAACTTTTCTGAAACGAGAATTTATTTTCTAATGTTGGATTACTGCTATGTGAGAAAATTTATCTGTAGCTTTGAACATACAAATTTTTCACCAGCACCATGAGCACTCCACACCCTTAGTGCTCGTGGATGTGTTTATCCTACAAAAGATTATATTGTAAGCTGAGTAGGAGTATCAAGTAGTAGAAGGAGCAGCTTCAGGCATCACATCTATTTACATCATAAACTGCTCTGTTTTCTTGCTAATGTTTACTCTGCAGCAATTTGATCTTGTCTGTTAAATATAATATGAAGTGCTGCTACACTGGGTATTACATAAGTCTGCAGTTCATCAGCAGATTCCAGCAGTTTTAGTAAACAGCTAAAAGTGGTCTTACTTCTGCAAAGCATTGTAACACCTGCAAAAGCTTATCAAAAAATTCACTGCTTTTTTCTCTGAATTCATAAAACAGTTTAGCCTGTCTATTTTAAAAGATGGTTTCAAAATGCAGGGATATTATGGTCCTTCTGTTTGGTAGTGAATGTAAAACACACTTAAGTGATGGTCCTCTCCAAATTTCTTTTTTGAAGCAGGATAGGCAATGTCATTATATTATTTTTCTCTCACCCACCTCTACTTAAAGATAACTCCTTAATATAGGATAAAGGTATCTACTTAAAGATATGAACTCCTGAAATGAAATAAATAAATAAATAAATAATCCACAAGCATTCACTCAGTTGGAAAACTGAATTAACTGCATTTCACTGTATTTCTATGTTTCTTGTGTTCTTTTTCACAATATCTCCAGCAGGGGTGGTTTTACATAGAAACGTTAAGCAGACAAGTGTCTATAGAATTACAGTCATTAGGAAGTGCAAGAAACTTCAGTGAAGATTTGTAAAAAACCCCAAATTTAAAATACAAATAAATAGATTGCATTCAAAATAATTAATTGCTAGCAGTAATCAAACAACAATCATATATAATCTTAATGCCAGACAAAACTTTGTTTCACAGCAGGTGGGAGGCAATTCTGAGAAATATAATTAGTCTAGCTTTAATAGAGAGATGAGTAAAATAATTCAAATTACTATGTGAATTCTGCATCAACTCTAGAGTTGTACAAGGGAACTGTGTTCACCATTATCCTCTTATAGTTTCCTATCAATATATCCACATGTACATTTGCTTTTAGGAACAGCTGAGTATACAGCTTGTTCAAACCTATAGCTCTGGAGGTTTTCCAGTGAATCCAGGTGACTGCCTTGTGGTACCACTGTTATAATAATGAAGCAGTAACCCAATATTTTAATTAACATTTCACTAGCTTTGTGTCCAAACCCCTTAGTCCAACTACACCATATTCCACCCTTAAGCCTTCTTTATTACCCATTCTCCTATCTCTGCCTACCTCCCTGTCAGATAAGGTCTCCTCCTCTCAGAGGCAGGAAGGCAGTTCATCCCACCGTGGAGGTGTAGCACAGAAGGCTCATGTTTTAGCTGCACAGCTGAGGTTTGAGCTGTGAGTGCTGAGAACTGAAATCAATGAACCCCAAAGCAACAAGAAATGGTTCAGATGCAGGTCAGCACCTGCTCTCACTCAGGGGAAAGCCTGGCAGCTGCTGTCCTGCCCAGGCCCACGGGGCGCTCAGGGTGTAGATCTCTGTGTAACTCGTGTCAGCCATCACCTGCCTTTGCTTTTGTCTGCAACCTGAAACTCTCAGAGACGCCTGCCACAGTATCATTAGAAAATATGTTTAATGTCTGGATGTGTGTCATTGTTTGATTTTTGGGGTGAAAATAGAACGATGAACGATGACCTTGAGGGTACCCAAGCTGGAGTTTTGGGGAATTTATCACTCTAAGAAGCGCAAGAAGTAAATTACAAAATATGCTCAGCAACCTCTCTTTTTATTACCCTCTACCTTTGTGTCAGACACACAATCACTGTTATAAAGCTAATGTCTTGCAGCAAAATATCACCCTGGGGAACAGCTATATTTCCTGGGGTGAAGCACAGCAAATGTTAGCAGCATGCAAAAATATCATACTACAGTTCCACACCAGAATACAAGGAACAGCTGATGGCAAAATACAAATGAGTCCTACAGAGAGTAAAACATGACAGCCTGACAGTCTCACTGACATGTATATTACTGTCCTCATTGTTCAAGACGAAGCCCTCTAATGAGGAACTACCTAGTTCTTTTGCAGCAGATGCAGTATTCTCTCTTTTTAATTAACACTGATCTGAGTGAAGTGTTTAGTCTCCCTATGTGGAAAAAAAAAAGACTTGAAAAAGTAGTTTTGGAAGCACTTTGATAACGTGATGACTTAACTTACAGGAGAGTGGAACAAGATGATCTTTGATGTCCCTTCCAACCCAAACAATTCTATGATTCTGTAATGATTCTCTGAATAGGGATTCAGTTTCAAATAAGAAAACACTTTAGGAGTTAGTTACTGTGCAACAGCATTGCTCAGGGCAATTTCTCACAGGTTGTGAATGCATGTTGAGTGTCTGCAAAGTTTCTGGTTTTCATTATTTTACATACATAAAAACAGAAAAAGAAATAAAAATTATATAAAATTCTAAAAATAGATGTGTGCGATATATAAATGTCTATATATGTGTATGTTTGATATATAATGCATATTGTATATCCCCTGGGGATTCTTAACATCTTCCAAATGAAGTAATATTAACTAAGCAGTTTAAAAATACAGAAGTACAGTTAAAATTAATATTTCATCATCTAAGACTGGTATATAAAATAGCCTTCTGCTGCCTCATGCTAGTCAGGGCTACTGTGCTGGTTTCCATTCAGTTTTCACTCTATCACTCTTTATATAGAAAATATTATATTCTGAAACGTTGCTTGGGGCATTAGACAGCCATAGATAAGTTTCTGATATCATAGGATTGGACTTTGAATCAAAGTCACACAGATACTAACGTGTATTGATTGCACATAACAAAATAAAAACAAAGCAATATAAACCCAGACATTCATTCTACAAACTGGTAAAATCAATGACGAGAGAAGTTGAAAGGCCTGTGTATCTCAGATCAGCCTTTACAGATTTGTCTCAGGGTAATACAGATGTAGATTTTAATTCTGCTTCCCACCGTGCCTGCAGTTGCTTTCTCCACCTTCAGTCAGTGTTTCAGAGTATAAAATATGTTTGCTTGTCAACAGTTTAGCCTTTTTTTTTTTACTTGAACTTGGAAAAATCCCTCTATATTTTATTTTTCTATTATCGAAGTCCCAGCAGCTGATTTTGATGGCTCTGTGCTGCATGATCCATTGTTTACACATATGAATTCAGTTCATATATGCAAATACATATATATAGTCATATATATATACTCATATATATAGTAAAAGGAAGCTGAGAAAACATGGTTTAGTGCAAGCCAAGAATTTATTTTGATACATATCCTATGAAAAATTGCTCTTACTTCCTCTTTCAGATTTTGGTATCTTCTATGACAAAAGACAAAGAGTTATAAATCACCTAGTTTGGATGTTACATTAAAAAAAAAAAACACATAGAATCTGCACTATTTCCTGTGTTAGTAAATCTTTAGTGAATAATATGACTTCTTTCTAAAGATGTTTTTCTTATAAGGTGTTTGCTACAACTTTAGAGTGATCCTAAATACAAGAAGTAGCCAAGTCAATTAACATGAGTGTATAAAAACCTGTATTGACATGTCTTGATGGTAAGACATCATCTGGTATTATTGTCTGTTTGATCTGCCAGCAGAAGCCTCTCAGGAATATCACTGTTTTGCCTTTGGCCAGTTGTTGAGCTTTTAAGTACAAGACATTTTATGGCATTTCATGGATCTGTGCATGGGACAGCACTACCTCCCAAGTGACATCAAGATATTTTAAGTGGTTTTACTTTCCTAAATGAAAAGACTGGTGAAAAAGAAAGTGATTCTGCTAATTGGCAAACTTTCTTTCGTATCAGTATTCCTGAAAGGTTTCTTGGTTACTGTAAGTGCCATCTGTGATTTTAGCTTGTTCAGTGCTAGATCAAACAAAAACAAGACAGGACACTTCACAAAATTATTCTTTTTAAAAGTCAAGAATCATGAATAACTTCTGTTTAATTAATGATTTTGTCATCTTGATATATTGAGATTTTTCTCTTCCTCTTGACCTTTGCAGTTTTATTTTTAAAAAATTCTCAGTATTGTTAATATCCTCTGCAATGATACACAGTTAATGGCTCATATATCTTCTCACTGTGTTTGTGCCAACATGGCACTAATTGGGTATATCAGGTATATTAGTATATCAGCAGTTCATATTCTTATACTGACAGTTTCTTCTAATGAATACAACTAGAGTGAGAAAAAAGACTTACTATTACCAAGATAAGTTTTTTCCACTTAATAGACCACACAGTTAACTATGTTTATGCTCCAGAAACTCGGTCTGTAAGCTATTGTAAGCGTATATTTTGCCTCTGTACAACCTAATCTAATCTTGGCATTTTAAAGCCCCTTTACACAACTTCTGCACAGCCTGTAGATACTCTGTACTAAGTAGATGTGTATGGTATTATTTCCTAAAGGGAGAGGACGCATATCATGGAGAATTGGTTGGATGTGGGACTAAATCATAGGACCGAGACATGAGTTATTATGATCACAGTTGCAAAATTAGAGAAGATATTTGTTTGGTTTTTCAGTTTTTTGAGACCACAGTGAAGGAAAAACTTGCTCTTTTATCTAGTAAGGGGGTGTTCTTACTGACTGTTCGCAACACACTGATGATGAACCCATGTCACCAAAGCTGACTTCAGCAAAGCAGTTTGGAAATCAAACTTGCAGTGCCTCTAAAAAGTGTTTCTTTTAGTTGCAAAAATGTTAAAATGCAAGTATAATTATATGATGTTGTGCCCCCACTCACTTCTTCTACAATGTTATGCTGTTTACTGTTCCTCTCAGTCATGTCAATAGAAACATTCTGAAGTCAAACACACTACACCACTGAAATTTTTTTTCCATATGAAAATAGCTTGTTCTCAAGTTATTTTTTATTCCAAAATGGAACTTTCTTCTGTTGTTTTTTCAACCCTGCAACTACTCAATGCAATCAGATTTCCAGCATTGTTTTACCCCATTATAATGGCACTGCACCAAACCTGCCAGAGTTGGAGAAGCATTTGGACAATGCTGTCAGACACAAGGTGTGATTTTTTTGGGATTGCCCTGCACAAGGCCAGGAGTTGGACTCAATGATCCTTGTGGGTCTCTTCCAGCTCAGGGTATTCTATGTTTCTATAATGCTTCCATGAAGGTATCTGTTGCTAGAAACCACATAAAACAAATAACAATGCCAACTATGCTAACAATGTCAAACCAGCTTGAACGATTCTGAGTGTTTCTAATACACTAGTTAGACTTTAGGATAAAGAATTGAAATTACCGCTGGGCATGGGCAGAATATGCACTTTTATTTCAAGGCACACAACTCCATCTGTTAATGTGAGACTATTTTAAAAATACCTTCTCTGGGGCTTTTGAAAGGACCATATTGATTTTTGAGAGATATATGTTTCAGAGAATTTTTGTAGAAAGAGCCTCCTTATGCAACTACTACTTTGTAAATTAGTTACTTTTTACTATCTCTATTAAAGAAATGAATTTCACATTCTGCGATTCACATTCACAGTCATGAAAAGCTCTCTGAGCTACATGTCACTCACTGCAAGTTGTTTTCTGTGAAATATAGTTTTGTATAAGATGCTGAGATAAATGTGAAGTGGCTTTGTCCTCTACAACTGCCTTTCAGTGGGTTTGATTTAAACATGCACAAACCTCTGAGAAAAAGATGATATATCAGACATAAATCTTTGATATAGAAACAAGACCTTCTAATAAAAATACAGTGTACACCAATGAAAGCCCTTGTGAGTGATGTTAATGCTCCAATGTTCATTTCTGTTTTGAAAAGCACTCTCCTTAGCATGTGTTTTTAATTGCCAGTGACACCAGGCCCATCCTCCCTTGTACCTGAGCTTTATCTCAGTTGCTTTAGACATTTGAAGTGGTACCATTTGTAGTGCAACTGAGTATGTAGCTGTGTGATTAATGACACTTTTCTAACATATTCCACAGTGGCCACAGAAACAATTTCAATTAAGTGCTGTTGAAATTCCCTTTCTGCCATTTTAAATGCCGTTAATAGATAAAAGTTAATTGAGGTTAAAATTACATTTAATTAATTCGCCATGGCACTCATACAATGTTATGTCTATTCAAAAAGATACAGGATCCATTGAAGTGGTCATATATGGACTAGGAATGAAAAGTACAGGGACTATATGTTTAAATTTGCAGGATCACAGGCATATGTTCTTTCTGACTTACTAGCTGAGACCCCTTTCTATCTCAGACAGCTGTGTAGAAGAGACAGAAATTATGTGTGTATGTATGTGTGTATCCATACAGAACTAGAAATATTTATTTTCATCTTTGGGACTCTGCAGTGAAGTTATTTATTGGACATTAATAAGGAATCTGACCCTTTTGTCAAGCAAAGAAGTGCAAAATACTTTGTTTCTGAAATTGTAGGCTAAGAATTCATAAATCAAAACTGTAGATGCAAAATCTAGCTGTAAGTGCACATCTCAATTAAACTAAAAAATACAAAATTCTCAATAAAATAAAGGGCAATTTAACTGCTTCTGCATTTAGACCATACAGCATAGCAGCTGTTAGGCTGAATATTCTCAGTGTATAATTCAAAACAAAACATTAATACTCTTCAGCATTGATTTGTTTGGTCTTTATTGTGTAGAGTATAAGTTCTGCCTCAGCAGAAAATTTTACCTGCACTGTTTCAGCACAACAAAGAATTTAAGAATGTACTTAATTAAAGTGTAGACATACACCAAAAATAAAGCCTTTATTGATCTTCTTTGCTGATGTAACAGTCTTTGCACTGTCTATGTTTTTTAATATTTGTCCACAGCCAAGTACAGTACTCCATAAAATATACTCTGAGTTGGATAACCAGTCTTTTTCTAAAATTTCTGAAGATTCTTAGCATGTCACACTTCCTGGCCAAGTAACAGTCTGTAGGTGAAAATCCATAATATTTTTTCTAATTGCTCTAGTAAAAATATATTCAATCTTGTTTTAACAGAGTAAGAAACAAGAAGTTCCTAAAGAAGAACAGGGACCAACAACAAAGAATTTGGATTTCTGGGCACAGCTTATTACTCTGATGGTCACCATTATAGATGAAGATAAAACAGCATATACACCAGTCTTGAACCAGTAAGTAATTAATTCCCCATAAAAAATTAAGAATCATGGATTTATTAAAATAAGGACAGGAAATACACTTGAATCAGTACTTGTAATTTTAAATAGAATCTAGCTAGAGGGTTTTATGCAGGATATAACATTGGCATAGTTTGATAAAAACTTAGTGCTCTGATAATGGAAAGAGAATCTTCTGTTTTGGGAACACTGAAGACAGGTGGTATATGAACCATCCCAAAAAGTTGAGTAGCAAAATACTATGCAAGAGAACAAAATGGATAGAAGGGAAAGTTCAGTAAAAAGGTGTGATGGCATTAATGTTATTATAGTATCTCTATGCACATAGTGTTCAAATCATGCTGAGAGTCTTTTAGGTATGAGTTTTAGGGATTTATTTGTAACAGAATAATGAACTTCACAAAAAGAACCTCTCCAAATTTACAATTGGCTAGGGAGAAAACCTAGCCACACTGACTTGAAAATTTATAAAATAGAGAGCAATATCCTAGAGATGGAAGCAGACTACTCAGAATTGACAGTGTAACAGGCGAGGGAGGTACAATCAATAACCAAGACAAGTCAAATAACTTAAGGTTGATGCAGTAGTAGAAAAGAGAGAGCCAATCAATAAGTATAGAAGGAGGAGACAGAGTGCTGGGTTTGAACACGAAATATATAGGAGTGCAAAGGAACATGTTTCATATCTTACAGCTGCAGAAACTGGCGTAGCACTGATTGAAATGCAACGTGATGAGGCCCCAGGGAAATGTTTTAGCTCCTTTAGCTCTTCAGAGCTATTTTACAGAGAGACAGAAAATCTGGGCACAGTCTGGCTGTAATGACTTATGCAAAAGTTAAAATTGAAACCTACAGCTGTATTATGACAGAACAAGTAACAGAGGTGTCTGTAGTTGCATTTAACTGAATGGTCTGAGGGGGAGCAGGAATAAGCCTGTTTCTTTCAGCCGGGATAGGGTAAATACTGAAGGCACTCTGCACATTGAGATGTGTTTATTTGTTGATAAAAGATACCATACTATTTATGGACTTGAAATATAATCAACAAAGAAACCTCCTGGAAGATATTTATTTGCCTTCTGATTTTTACCACTTAGTGTGAAGTTCCTCCATTAACATTTTGTCTGACAGCTGTGTAACAAATACATTTATTATAAAACATGTAACTGAAACAAATACACACATGCATTTCATTTCAGTCTCTTCATTGAAATTAAACAAGTGTAATTGGGGGTTAATTATCTTAAAAAGTTGTTCTAGCTATATTTTTATACAAATGCGAGGGAGAAAGTAAAGGGATGAATAACAGAGTTCTAAGGGGATTAGTAGGCTCCCTAAAGTACAGCTGAGTGATTGTGTAAGATGTGAAAAGAGAATCAGGAGTGGATGGAATTGGGACAGTTTAAGGGAGAGAGCTGGTGTCTCTGACTTCTCTCCCATTTTCACTGTTGTTTTGTAAGTGGAAGAGTGAGCACAGGGAATAACATGTCTTTGAGAAGTAGGAGACACGAAGAGCAAAAGATGAAGAGGCTGTGAGGGGAAAAAAATTGCAAAACTATTCAGTTGCTTTGGATACCTTTTTTTTAAAAAAAGCTTCTCCTAAAACAAAAGCAGCTTGTAAAAACTATTGAGAACAAATGGCAGCCTCTTCCTCTTTGCTTACTCCAGAAAAGAAAATAGATTAAAATGAATGAAAAGGAAATATAAGCTGAATACTTAAGAATATTGCAAAACTATGATTCCTTATCAGGAATGCGTGACCATGGAGTATCTCAGTGGAATATTCAGGCCTACATCCATTTGAAATCTATTTTAGAAATGAGATAACTGAAGATCCTCAGGAGACCTCCAAGCATTCTGATAGGAGTTTTCACAATTTTATAATGTTGCTCAGAATTCTTTTCCTCAACCATTTTTGGAAACCCTATTTTTATATCTACCTTAGAGGCAAAAATTATGCTGTGATACAGTAGTTTGAACTGTATCAGATTATGAATCCAAATGAAACATGACATGATTGCCTCAGCAAGCACTGCAGCCACTGACAGACCAGACCAGATCAGACCATCCAGTGGGAGTATGGGAGGAAGCTGCAGTTCTTATATGACATAAGAAACTCGACAGGTTTGAGGGGGAAAACATGGTCTGGTGTTTAAAGTGTGAAATTCTCATTCAAGTAGTTGAACAATGTAAAATGTGTTTGAAATCTGATTCACAAGCAAATCTACGGCTTCCTGTTACTTGTAAATATACATTGTACAGGCTGTGAGACAGAAGAAATTGCTATCAAAATAAAAGAGTTATTTTAATAAAAGGAACAACAAATCAAAAACAAAATCTTCACCTGAAATATGCTTGTGCATTTTGAAAGCAAAATCTAAACTTTGTGCCTCTGCACATATTTTTTTTTCTTGCATATATACTCAGAATAGTCAAGTTGTTATTGTAGCACAAATTTAAGAAACAAGACAGCTCTAGTGGGACTTTTCAGTTTGTTCTTTACTGATCCTTAGGTCTTTGCAATGTAAGGATCTGTTTTCTCTGTGATCACACTGTGTTCCACACACTCCCTCCCCATTCCACAGTATGGAAAGTACTGGCTGGTGAAATCTGTGGGAGCAGATTTCCTCATGCTTCAGGAGCCAGGATGTTTGCTAAATCTGTGAAGTTAAGGATAGTAACTTGTATTGCAGAACAGCAACCTGTGAGTCAGTGAGTTATGAAAGGCATGTCAGTGGGGAAAAAATTATGGAAAGAAGATCAAAAAAGTCAGGGTACACTGTATCAAGAATTGGGCTGTGTCAGGCTAACTCTAGAATGTTTCTTTGATGGTGGAGAGTGTATCTGATGTGTTTTGTGTCTTGATTCAGTGATATTTTCCATTATCAGTTACACTTTATTCTGTGGAAACATGAATATCAATTCTTTCATTGAACTTGTGAAAATTATCCTGCAAAACAAAGCTGTGCTCTGGTTTTTCACAACATACACTGTCATTTGCTCATGTAGTACTGAAAGACCAGATTAGTGATACTACTAGTTTTGTAGTGCAAAGTATGTCTTACATGCTATGTTTTCTTCAAGAAAAGGAATGTTACTTTTTAAAAAATGAAAACTTTGGCTAGGTGGAGAATAGAGCACAAAAAGTAAGAATAAATGAACTCTTTGCTCATAGTTTAAGTAGAATACATATTTTCCAAAATCAGATAGAACTTCTGTCTTAAGGGTTAGTGAAGCAGTGACCATGGCCAGCACTCCACAGATGGTGTAATCTAACCTCTTGCTGCAAGCACAGCACAAAAATGAATGTATTCACCCACAGGACTGATGCGATTTAGTACCTGGATGAGATTGAACCGTCCAAGTATGGAATATGAGCTATTCTGAGAATGTGCCTCTGAGGTTCAGGGACTTTGATATTCTCAAAATGTAGCAGACTGAAGATCTGACAGCACAAATTAAGAAAAAGCATTTTTAATTGTCATGATAGGATTTTCTTATTTCAGGGTTTAACTGGAGACATGCAGCACTACCTGGGATAAATGCTTTGGGGGGTTATTTATGTTTTGCTTATACATTGATTCTTTTCATTTTCATTCGAGTTCAATTTCACTCCATTGATCTGTGGTTTTATACATAGCCCTTTGTTAGAACTAGCCAGTGAGAACAGTTTTCACTAAATTTTTACTTAATTAAAATCAATAAAGAGAAGACATCCACAAGTGGCTGCCTTTTACATGCAGTTTAGTCTTTTTGGAAATACATGAATATCATCATGTAGGGGCAACCTAACTGTTCTAGATAAACTGAGATTTTATGGTATTGTTCTAAGAATGACATAGAAATTGGGGAAATTACAGCCTATGGAACAAATAACAGTATCAAGAGCAAAAAAGAATAACTAACAGAGCACTCTTCTGGTCATCCTTTTTCTTTGCTGAGAAATATAATAATACGTGACTTACAAAGATTAGAAAATGCAATTTGTAGAGTTTGGCATGGGAAATTTCTCTGATATTTTGCTGCTTAGGGACCAAATTCTGAAATAGTTGGCAAAAGACAAGTCTATCAATTTTAGACTTTATCTAAATGAAGTCAGGTAGGATGAATCCAGGACACTGTGTTGAACTACAGCAATTTATACAACACAGATAATTGAAGTTTGTGTGTGTGTGTGCATGTGTTTTCACAAATTAAAATGCATACACATGTAAATCCCACTAATCAAAAAATTGCATTTTTATCAGCCCCAGCCTTGCTTATTGGCCAGCTTTGCATTAGGGTCAAAAGACAATGTCAATGTTAAATCAGCTGTCAAATACTTCCTCAGAGTAACACTGCCAAAGTTCAAGTCTGGTGCTAAGAGAGCACTCAGACTGGACTGAAGGTTAAGAAATTAAGGCAGCTGAGATGTATTTCAGCTTTTGAGCAGCAATTAATTTTGTGTTAACAGAATTAATACAGAGTTCTTTAGTTGAGCAGCCATTAGCACAAAGAAGGCTCAGTGAACTGAGATAGCAATTGCCTCCTATTAAAGTGACTGAGCTAATGAGCTGTCTAAGTACTTTTTCTTTGCAGATATTATCAGGGTCAAATATGTGCCTAGAAAGTATACATTAATTAGATCATACTGCTACCAGTATAAAGTTGCACATAATTCTCACTCTTTCTTTGTCAGCAAGAGCTTTAAAAATTCTTACACTTTTACAAAAATTTATTACAGAATATTTTCTGAATCTCATTAGTGCTTTAATAAAAGCACTACTTTGGGTCAAATTCTCTGCTCGTGTAAAATGGTGTAATAAACTCAAGACAAAAGTCACAGAGTGTATTTTCTCATGAATATGAGAATTTCCTTACTTCATGTGTTCCCAGTGAACTGTGTGGCTCTCACTGCACCCTGTGGTGTAAACAACTGCTTTAACACTCAGAGGCTCTGTGATGTCCTTTCTGCTCTTCAGCTGCATGACCTGGTGTGGTCTGCTTCTGAGAACATCCCACACCTGCATTAAGAACGGCTCTTTTTTTTCAAGACAAATAACTCTTCTTTAAAATGTGACATAAAACATAGTGTCTATCACGTAAATGTCAGCTTTTTCTCATAGCTAACAGTGAGGATGGTAACTGAAAGGTTAAAACTTCTTCATAGAATAAGGAGCAGATGGGACCTATGAAAAAGTTGTGGAACAAATATTTAATTGATACCTGCAGAACGTGTCTAAAAGGGACTGTTTCTCTAAGATGACAGGAAGCATAAAACCAAAACTAAAATTCTGAATTAAAATCTGCATTTCACTACCTGTTATATTCTTTAGTGCTTTATCCATACTTCAAGGTGGAAGTCTTCAGACAGTGAATTGTATCCAACTAGTAAAAACCATTATAGCTTCACAGGCAGCTTCACTCTTTTCCAGTGTAATAAGGGAATTAAAGAAAAGCTGTAGCTGCTAAACATCTGGGCCAGCTGTATCAGATTTTTCATAAGCCATCTGATTTATCTGAAGCTGAGGAGTCATCTGCAAGATAGATGGATGGTTCTTGATTTAAAATGTCATGTGAGGGAATTTGTGCAACATTCAACTAATTACTTACCCAGGCCTCTGCACTGAGGAAGTTTGTATTTGAAGATTTGATGGTTTATATAACTGTACAAAATATAAAATACAGTAAGTGCGTACTAGAGGAATTATTTTGTGGAAATATTTGCCTTTCTGCTGTGCAACTGTAAGCATAATTTCTAACAGCAGGTGAACTGATGTAATGTGATTGATTGCAGGTTCCCTCAAGAGCTGAACATGGGGAAAATCAGTGCTGAAATCATGTGGACTCTGTTTGCCCAGGATATGAAATATGCTCTGGAAGGTAATTAGAACAAACTATTAGTTACACTAGAGAGTTCACTAAGACTGATTTCCACTGTAAGTGACACCTGGCATCAGATTTCTGCATGTGGTAAGAGCTTTGTGGAGTACTTGTTTAAGATGTTTCACAGATTAATGAAAAAGAAGTGCTGTAAAGGAAGGAAATCATTACACTGTGAGTATATGTGGAAGAAGGAGACAAAAGAACTGTGACTTGAAATGCTATTTCTTTTTACCTAGTTCTGACAAAAATTCTAAGTGTCCAAAGAACCACAAATATCCTTGCTGGAGAGCATTTTAGACTCTCCATATTTTCTTACTACCTGAAAATTGGTAACCCAGCTGTAAGAAACATTTACAGAATGAAATTATGGAGAAAGCACACACTATAATTAAATCTTTTTGTGCTCAAAAGGAGGTTGTATTCATTCTAGTTCCGACAGAATCAAATACAGTTTCATTTTATTCCCTAGGATATTACTGTGGTTAACCATTGCTAAAATATATATTTTTTTCTATATAGCAGATAGTCTTCAACTAATGGCTTCAAACCTATTCATTAAAATATGGTTACTGCAGAAAACCAAGTAAAAATACCTGCATGAAACTGTCATTGTCTTTAGTCAAGTCTGCTACTAGTTACAGAGCAAGTCTGACAGGGTGAAAAAGAAGTATGAGGTTGAACTTAAAAAACAATGCAATTCAACAGACATAAAAGTTTAAACAAAATGAATACTTGAAGATCATTTCTATATTACTTTGTCCAGAATGTCTTTGATAGTGGTGCTTTGATGGTAGATTTTTATGATGACAAAGAAAAACAGAAAAAAGATGAATTACTAGAATGTCTCTTGATGGAAGAACTGTTTTGTTCATCTGCTGTGATGATAGTTTATTTTGTTATCTTATTTGAATGTCTCTTGATGGAAGAACTGTTTTGTTCATCTGCTGTTATGATAGTTTATTTTGTTATCTTATTTGAATGTGGAACTTGCATACTAAACACAGCAGAAGAAAAAGACAGAAAGAAAGGAAGGAAGGTAATTATAATATGTAGAATGACAACAGAAGATGAGAAATCTAAAACACAAGTAGGAGAAGAGATGTTCAAACTAATGTTTGAAAGTGATGTTCTGTAGTCATGTCAGAGTGAATCAAAAGCACAAGTCTGAGAAAGCTGATGTCAGCCAGGAGATTATCCTTTGAGAGTGATCAGTGAAGGCAAAAGCTTCCAAGAGCTGAGAAGCATGAAAACCAAATGAAAACCACTGTTTTGGGTTAGAACATATTGCTGGTGAAACAACCTCCTATCTAGAGAACAGCTGCCAGAAAATTGCTGTTCAGCAACTCAGTGTTGGGACTGAATTTACATACAGTTAGCACAGATCACTAAGAATTTCCAACAGCCACTACTTGCCATGGTTTCATAACCTTGGCTGTGTAGCTTTAGTCTGCACACAGACATCCCTGAGCACCCCAGCGCTCGGAGTGCTTTAGTCATGGAACTATAAACATTCTGTACTGCAACAAGATAATTCACAAAACATAATTCACTCTACTTGCTAAGTAGAGCATGCTGATCACTCAAAGGTGTCTTCAGATCAAGCCACGGTTTGTTTCTTGATTGTAAAGAATAGAACGGGAAGCTCTTGAGGAAGAGTTAATTATACAATATATGAAGTGTGGGTGGTAGGGCTGAATCAGGACTTTAAAACAAATATTAATGTTAACGTTAATCCTAATTCTGCAGAGAGTGATATAGAGAATTCATTAGAAGGCACTTGACTCTTTCTGTCTATTCCAAACCTATCCCCGAATATGGTCTCATCTCTGTGTTGCTGTGGATACTGTCTCTCTGAGTAGAGTAAATGCCATCCTTGTCATTAGAAATTCTAAGTAATTCCCAGAATCAATAGTGAAAAGGTTCCTGTGTATAAATAATAATTAATGAAAATTGAAATTAGCATAAAATATTATAAGTATACACAATTTCACTCTCAATCCTAAACAAGAACCTCAATAAATCTAGTCATAAAATATAGATCAGCATTCTGTTTCTCTTTCCAGCTCTGCTGGTTTTTAAATCATTGATTATTCCCATAGATATTCTAGAAACTGAGTTTAACTCAGTTGTTAATGGCAATAAAACTTTTTGCTTTGAATTCCATAAGATTAGAAGCAAGTCCTTGAATATGGCCACAGTTGATTCTCCTGGTTTTAATGGAGTTCATTAAAATGCATTGCATTCTGCTCTGCCACTCTCGCCTTCCAAGTTATTAACATAGGCTACCATCTGTTCATACGTAGTGTCCAGGGCTGTGATTGCAATCTTTCCTTGATCCAATTTAGTATTAATCTCCTGAAGCAGCATATTTTGTGTTACAAAGTTGATTCCTTTCTGCATCCAATCAAGAAGCAATGAACTAGTCCAACATTATTTGCAAAAGGATTGCTCCTGTGATAAAAAAGATTAAATTAGCTCATCCAAGATACTGCTTCTGGTTTTACCCACCTAATATATTCTCAAATATACCCAGCCACACCCATCGGCTTAATTTCAGAAAATAAGCATGTCATATCTCCATTCTCTAACAGAAGACCAGTACTGGAGCATCCACTGTACATTGCTTTTCCCCAAGCGTTCAGAATGGCTGTTCAACCCCTCCCTGTGGAGCTGGATGCCTCCTGTGTCTTCCCAGGGGACGTGTGGAGCTGCAGCTGCTGCTGGGCAGAGTTGCTGCTCTCCAGCAGTGCTGCCACCTCCTCTGCAGTAGGACCCAGCAGCCCTGTGAGCCCGACACCAGCAGCATCACACCCTGCTGCCTTCTCTTCTCCCTTGCTCCTTGCCCAGGACAGTCCAGCTGGGAGGCTGCTGCTGTGACACCGAGAATGCAGAGGGGACAACAGCTTCCATAGCAGTGGCTTTTGCTGGAGAAGGGCAAAGCAGCTGTTTGTCTCTGTGAATACCCAGGAAGAACATTGGCATGTGACAGGCTGCTGTCACTCTTTTGGTAGGGGAGGAAAGGACATCACAAAGCACAGTTCTCCACAACTGCTGAGATCAGGGCTGCACTGTGCCAAGCTGACATGCCTTGGAAACAAAATTGTACTAAATTCTGATATCAAGTTCATAATTTCATTCTGGATTTTCTTCCAGTTTAAGTTAATAAAAACGTTTAGCCTTTGCATAGTGTTAAAAGTTTTAGGCAAACTGTAACAAATAGAGTTCACACCAGTTCTAATTTTTTTTCTGATCTAAGGAGCTTGAGATTATTCTCATGTATAGGTTTTGCATGGAGAAGGTATCACAGGCTTCTCTCTTTGAGAACTGACTTCATTAGATTTGGTCCCTTTAAGGTTTTTTCTTCTTTACAGGTTATTCATGAAGCATCAGTGGTTTGCATGACAGATTATACGCTGTTTTTTGGCCTTCAGTTTACACAAGCATAGCTGATCTTATAGGATGGTATTATTTTTGTACGGTCCAATCCCCCAATTATTCTGCATTTATCCTACAAAGAAATAAGAACAGAGAGAGAATTTCACCAGTAGTGCAAGCGATTTGTTACTGACTTCATATGGCAGCAAATCTTTTCCTTTACAAGTATGCAAAGGATAAAAGATGATGAGAGAGTAATGAGCTGAAATTAGACACACAATTGCAAAGTATCTTTTTTATTCTTTGTTCTCAGAAATGTCATTTTCAGATCTTTCCAATGTCCAACTTTTGAATAGGTCAGATCCAGTGTCTGAAGCTAATCAGTCTGTTGGAAGGAGAACATCCTAATTGCTGTTATTATGATAATCTAATTCCAGTAGTAGCCAGAAGTCAAGAGCAGAATCCAGCCAGAAATTAATTAGCTGCTGTGTAAATACAGCAATAGACAGTCTCAGTCCTGCAGAGCTGAGATTCTGAAGGCCTTATAAAAATAGAAGAGGAACAAGAAAGTCATTCCTCCATTTTATTCATTTAACATAGGTTTGCTTTTAAAGTTTGCTGTTGTCCCCAGTGCATAAGCAGACACCATTTTCCTGTTTCTCTGGCAGATACTTCTTTTACTACAAAAACTGATAAAATGATTTGAAAGGTCTGTGAGATGATGTTGAGCACAGAGACAGCATAGAAAAAAACCAAAAAGGCTGACGCTGCCCAGAGAAAGGTCACGCCATTTGGTGGCACATTTCATGTCTATTTTCACTCCAAATTTACAGAGTACCCCTTTGTGAATAGCATTTAGCCTTGGCTTAGAGGGAGGCTGCAGAGTAGGTTTGAGGAGGTGAGGCTGAGGTTTTGGAAAGGACAGGAAGGCAGCATCCACCAGAATGCAGGGTTTCATCGCTATCAAAATATGAAACCTTTTTCATTTAGTCAGACTCATCTCTGCACTGGCACACTTGAACAAATGTATTCCATCCTAGCTTTTTCAGAGACCTGAGGAATATGTGGTGTCATGGCAATTCAGAGTCTGTAAAGGCAAAGGCAAGGGGATTAAAATTGGAGTTAAACTTTTCTTTGGCAGACAGTAAGATAAAATGTTGACACAGTTGGAGGAAGAGGGGAGTTGGAAGTTTCTTTGGTCAGCATAACAGATAAGGATGTTACCAGCAGCAGCTGCACACTGCACATGCTTGGGAGCTGAGCTTTGCCAGTATGAGAATCCACACCTATCATGTGCAACACAGGGATCTCCAGGCTTGCCTATAAAGCACTGTAACCATACCAAATGGCACTTTTTTGTTGGAGTTAATTAGACCCAGTAATTAAGACAGAGGAAGTGGATAGAACTGTTCCCAGGGGCTGAGTTAATACTTCTTCATGGCACCATATTGTGCTGTAGCAACATGTCATCTTTACTTGGAACTACCTCAGTGATCTCTAGTATGGCACAACCTTGCACTTGGGGAGGTGCCCACTATATCTATCATTTCCTTGTTCTCTAACCCATTTTCTTGGATTTTACATATTGAACCATAGCCAGAACAGTGAGTACTACTGCATTA